CCTCCCTTCAGCTGGTAGCCAAGATAGGTTGCCTCTGATGTACAAAGCTCAGCTTTCTTAGCTGACACTTTGTAACCCAAGGTCTGTAACTCTTTAGCAGTTCCTCAGTGGCTCTTTCTCAATCTATTTCAGTTTCAGGGGCTAGGAGGAGGTCATCTACACATACTGTAGGAGTATGGTCCTGGGAAACTTCTGATGGAAGGGCAGGCCCTGGGAAACCTCTGATGGAAGGGAAAACTCATCAAACAGGGGTGGAGAGTTTTAAATGCTTGGGGCAACCTGGTCCAGGAAAGTTGCTTGCTGTAACTTCCCTCTGGATCTGTTCATTCAAAATCAAGAATGGCTTGACTCACCTCTGCCAATGGGAGGCTGAAGAATGCATCTTTCAAGTCCAAGGCAGTTTACACACATTTCTCTAGAGGAATCAGACTGGTGAGAGTGTATGGATTTAGGACAGAGTGTGTGTTCTTGACCCTCTTATTCACTTCTCTCAGATCTTGGATGGGTCTATATTTAGAGGTCCAGTTTTCTTCATAGGCAGGAGGGGTATATTCCAGAATGACTCTCTAATCTGGGAAATATGGACTGTAATTCCCCTTTTTGCTTTCAGGGTCATTGGGTATTGTTTAATCTGGATGGGGATAGATGAACTAGTTAGTTGAACAATTATAGGAACTTGGTGTTGGGCCAATCCTGGGGAGTTGGTTTCTGCTCATACCCTGGGAATCTTTGTTGTAAATCTGAGAGATAGTCCAACTTTATCTTTTGATTGGGGGCAGAACTTTCAGCTAGGAGATATTCTTCTACAAAGGGCAAGATACCAAAAACTTGCTGGGTTTCTATCTCACCATGAGATAAAGTGACAGTCGCTTTCAGTTTATAAGAAAGGTCCCCTTTCTCAATTCGTTCTCTGTTGTTAAACACCTTTTGAGCTACCTCCAGCAACTGGGACTTTTGTATACCTTTCAGTCCCTCTAACTTTTATAACTTTTTCCTAGTATCTGGCCTGTCTGGGTGACAATGGTAACATTGAGCACCTGCCTATTCTCCAGTGCATCTAAGTCTATGGGCATAAGAGTCTAGAAGACACTCTAGGGACATAGTAGGATGCTCCATACAGCACCTTTGACAGATCTGTGAGCTTCTGCACTGCTGTTTAGAGCCCAACCTGGAAAAGCAAGCAGCAGATGTTCACAGCCCCCATACTTTATTGGTATTAGGATCCCAACTGAGCCAGTTAGACTGAAAGACACTCTATGTGAAAAACATTATCAGCCAGAGATCCTCTGTCAGGATCCAGGACTGCTTTCTTAGCTTCTAACTTTTCAAAACAGGGTTTCTTTGTGTAGCTTTGGAGCCTGTCCTGGAACTCACTTTGTAGACCAGGCTGGCCTCTGCCTCCCAAGTGCTGGGATTAAAGGTGTGTGCCACCAGAGCCCAGCTCTCAGTTCCTAACTTTATGCAGTCTCTTTCTTCCAATGTAAACAGGGTGGCCAGTAACTGCTTGCAATCATCTAAGGTAGGCTGGTGGGTACAGAAAACAGTCTATGATTGCACTGTGACCAGCAGCCATATTGCTCTAGTTATTTGGCAATCATATGTGGCCACAGATGGCCATCGAACATCAGAAGAGGGTTACTCTAATTCACAAAAGTTCAGATGTCCTCTGCGGTCTACCTCCTGAAAATAGTGGAGGAAACAGTTCAAAGAAATAAGCTGGTTAGAAGCAGAATTGTCCATAGTTTCACTTTTCAGACCTCAATTCACAATAAGCAATAGTCCAACCAGAAGAGACAGAAAGACAAGACAGGAACACACAATAACAGTAAGGGGTAACCACCATGTACTCATACACCTGAAGGATCAGGGGATTCCAGTGACATTTTACACAGTTCCTGGGCATTGGATCCTATGTATCCAAACAGAATGGACCATGCTGGGTGGTAGTAGCTCATGTTTTTAATCACAGCACTCAGGAGGCAGAGGCAGGTGGATCTCTGCAAATTTGAGGTCAGCCTGGTTTACAAAGTGAGTTCCAGTACAGCCAGGACTGTTACACAAAGAAACTCTGTCTCAAAAGACTAAAACAGCAACAACAAAAACAAAACACAACAACATAAAAAGCCCAAAACAAACCAACAAAAACAAAACAGAAGGTTCCTTAACCAGACTTACTTCTGGAGGTGACAGAAGGAAATTTAGACAAGGGTGTTGGAGTGCCAAGATCTTCTCTCCCAGAGCCCTGGACCCTATCTGATTGTGCATTCCCTAGGAGGAAGTCTGTGCTCACCCACTGTGGTTCACAGCTGCAATGAGACCTGAGGGTTAGTCAAACTGATGAGGATCCTTAAAGGATCTCACTAGGACCTCCAATGTTGCAGGGTTGAGACCCAAAATACACTCAGTAGGACCAAAATCCATACTGAGAGTCTGTATTTAGCCGGCTGGCAATTGCTTGGAGAGAAACACTTTTCAAAGAGCACTTCAAATGAATTTTACAGGAAGTTTTTAAAGGCAAAGCACACAGAAAAATGACATCCTGACTGGCAGTTGTAGGGGGAAATAAGCAAGCACAGTTTAACAGAAGCCAGAACAGGCAGTTAGCTGGGGCATTTCCACACTGAGTTTCAAGAATAGGATTGGGTACTTTCCCACAGGACTTTTCACATTGGGCATACAAAGGGGGTGGGCATGGGGGTGGGGTCATTTTCAGCTTAAACCAAAGATGGCTCCAGCTGAGCCAAGAAAGAGGAAACTTTACTATCATAGACTTTGCCACTTTCTTGGGTCAGTGGTGTCTGATTGGGCAGTAGAAGTTTCCACGGGTCAGGTAGGTCAGGTTGGCTCCATCTGGCTGGTAGCATATCTAGGAATTAGACTCTGTTCCTTCCTCCCCACTCACCCCGGGACACCCAGTGCAGTCCTAATCAGCCAACCTGAAGACCTTCCTTTCCTTCTTGCTGCAAGAGAAGATGGAACCTGTCTCCCCACACCACCAGGCTCAGAAGACCCAGAGACACTTGCATCAAAAACTTTGTCAAGAGTACAAAGCCAGAGTGGTTTGTGGATGTAACAACTCAAAGTAGCCCAAATGGTGACAGACATCACCATGTGGCCTGCAAGTCAGTTGGGGGTGGGGTAAAGTCATCTTTCTCTTCTTTCCTCACTTTTCCTCCCCCATTTATTTATTTATTTATTTATTTATTTATTTATTTATTTATTTATAGAATGGATACTCTTTATGTAGTCCTGGCTAGCCTTGAACTCAGGGATCTGCCTGCCTCTGCCTCTTGAAAGCTGGGCTTAAAGGTGTGTGCCACCATGCCTGGCTCCTTTTATTTCTTTGAGGCAAGGTCTCCTAAAGTCCATGCTGGCTTGGAACTCACTATGTGGCTAAGGCTGGCTTTGAACACCAATCTTCCTGCCTTCATTCACCTCCTGATCACCAATGTGTGCCACCACACAGCGTTTCTTTGTTTGGTGGGGTTGTGTATGGAGTGGTAATTTGGATACAGAGTCTGGCTATGTAGCCTAGGCTGGTCTCCAACTCTCAATCCCCTGCCTGAGGGCAGCTAACCTCTCTAATTTCACTCCCCCTGGCCTTTCCCACAGTTTCCTAGGACTGAACTGTTTACCTCCTGGAGAACTTCTGCTAATGTTATGAAATTCATGGTTAATGTGACTGTCTAGTTGACAGAATCCAGATCACCTGAGAGATGAACCTTTAAGCAGCTCCTGGGTAATTATCTTGATTACATTAATTTACATGGGAAGACCTATTTTAATTGTAGGTGAGACTTTCCCAAGGAAGGAAAGACAGCCAGGGAGATGGCTTAATAGGTAAGGGCACTTGCAGCCAAACCTGAAAACCCAAGTTCAACCCTGGGGACTCACAGGTGGAAGGAAAGAACCAACCAGCTCTCACAAGTTGTCCTCTGAGCGCCACATATATACCATGCATTAGTGCCCCCTAAAAATACATAAAATGTAATCAAAAACTTTAAAACAAATGGTAAAACTGAGCTAAGCACAAGCATTTATTTTACTCTGCTCCCCCCCTCCACACCCAAGACAGTTTCTCTGAGTAGCCCTGGCTGCTGGCTGTCATGAAACCCATTCTGTAGACTGTAGCAAGAGTTCTTAATAGTTTTTTTGTTTGTTTGTTTTTGTTTTTGAAGACAGGGTTTCTCTGTGGCTTTGGAGGCTGTCCTGGAACTAGCTCTTGTAGACCAGGCTGGTCTTGAACTCACAGAGATCTGCCTGCCTCTGTCTCCTGAGTGCTGGAATTAAAGGTGTGTGTGTGCCACCACCACCCAGCTCTAATAGGTCTTAATAAAAACCCAGAGTCAGCTATCGGGGTAAATGCTGAAAAGTCAGAGAAGGCGCCAGCCACGAGACCTCTTACCTCTAATGAATCCTCAGACCAAAGGGGCGGTCCTGTCCCTGAGTCCTCAGACTTAATGCAATGAGCTCCTGTCTCTTCTCACCACATATTCCTCTATCCACCCAGCCATATCACTACTGTTTCTAATTCCCTAGTGCTGGGATTAAAAGCACATGACTCCTAAATACTGGGATTAAAGTGTGAGCCACCACCACCTGGATCTGTCTCTTTTAGACTGGATCAATCTTGTGTAGATCAGGGTGGCCTTGAACTCAGAGATCAGCCTGCCTCTGCCTGTCACTCTTGAGTGCTGGGATTAAAGGTGTGTGCCACCATTGTCTAGCATCTATAGCTAACTAGTGTGGCTAGCTCTGCACTCTGATTTTCAGGCAAGCTTTATTTGTTATATTACAAATAAATATCACCACAGTAGACCAGGCTGGCCTTGAGCTCAGAGATCCATCTACCTCTGCCTCCTGTGTGCTGGGATTAAAGACATACACCACCACACTGCCTGGCTACTCTTTGCTTTTTTATAAAAAAATGTTTCTAGAGACAGGTTCTGTCTTAGTCAGAGTTACTATTGCTATAATGACAAAACATGACCAAAAGCAAGTTGAAGAGGAAAAGGGTTTATTTGGCTTACACTTCCACATCATAGTCCATCACTGGAGGAAGTCAGGACAGGAACTCAAAACAGGACAGAAACCTGATGCAGAGGCCATGGAAGGGTACTGCTTACTGGCTTGCTCAGTCTGCTTTCTTATAGAACCCAAGACCACCAGCCCAGCATCCTTCCTGTGCCAAGCCTGGATTGCTCCCCAGATTGCTCCCTGCTGCTGTCACTGAACACCCTTCCCACCATTGTCCACATATGCCACCCTAGTTGTTTCACACTGGCCGAGTCTCCTCTTGCTCCTTCAGCTGAACCTGAAGCTAGAGAGGTACTTGAAGGTTACAAGCACAATGTCCTCACCAGATATACCAGCCAGAATGCTGTAGTATAGAGCCACCAGGAAGTGAAGGCTGGGACAGTGCTACAAGAGATAGGCTTAGAGCTTCATGCCCCTCCAAGACAGGGATGACTACAGGCCTCAAAGGCTGAGACTGATGGCTTAGGGGGCAGTGTCCAACCTTTAGACTCCAGAGAAGATGTTATCTCCAAAACTCACTCCAGAATTATAATCAAATCAACAAACAAACAAACATCAACAAAAATACAAAAACCAAGAAACCTCCTTAAGGCAGGTAAGATGAATTGTCAGGTAAAGGCACTTGCTGTTCAAACCTGGCAACCTGAGTTCTATCCTCAGAACCTACAAAAAGATGGTAAAACTAATGTCACCAAACTGTTCCCTGGCCGGCCCCCACCTGCACATTATGGTAGGAATGCCCACACACCCAATAACAAACTTTAGCATGTGCCCCATGGCCTGAAAGTTGGACACACCTCCCAGGGACAGCCAGCAATAGCAGCATTAGCAGTGGCTATTCTACAGCTTCTAAACTCTGGGTACCTGCATCTTCAAGAGCTGGCAGCTCCCAGGAACCTGTAGTGACCAGTCTCTTGCCCTGGCCTCCTGCTGCTAAAATTGCTGCTGTGGAGCAGTGGCTGCTCCTGCTTGTAGAGAAAAGCCTTTTATTGGGCCTACTGTTGCAATATCAGGAAGAAGTAAAGGGTGTTACCACAAGGGTGTAGCACTCAAATGGAACATTGTATCTGTAGTAATCACAGCAGTTTCCAGTAACCGACTTCCCACTGAATTCCAAGGGTTGGTTGCAGTCAATGAAGGAATCCAGGCTTGGGCCTAACAGGTTGTCTAAAGCAGTTGTGCCTGGAGCAAGGCCTCTTAGGGGCAGGAGTATGGCTTATGTACAGTGGTCCCTGGGAGTTGGCATGGTCTCAGCATGCTTCCCCAATGCAGGCTTCGGTATAGCTCAGTAAAGTGCTTGCCTAGCATGCACAAAGCCCCTGGTTCCAGTCCCAGCACCACATAAACCAGGCCTCAGCTGTGTTGTCTGGGGGCCTGTTGCAGCATGAGTGTGTACAAGCAGCCACTGATTTGTTTGGGGAGTTTCACTCCCCCTTGGGGGGGGGATGCTGAGGTAATATGGCAAGTGGGGAGCATCTTTGTCCTAGGCCAGGGCTATAGGGGAACCATGGATGGGCATAACACCAACACACTTGTCCCCAGAGGATAACTATCCCTGCCAAAGTTGACCTTCCAGAGAAAAGAAACCTCAGAATCTTTGCATGTGCTTTTCCAACCTGGTGGGAAACCAGGGCACACTTGGGTCTTTCAATGTGTCTGTGCAAACTCCCATGAAGCAAAGATTTTACTCAGAAGCTGCTGGGATGGGTCTGAATTGGTCCCTCAAGGACACAAAAACAAGATTAGCCTGGAGTTGATGGTCAAGTTGGTGGCAGTTTCAGCTGCTGTTGGGTGTATGAGCTGGGTTTTAGCTGTGAGCAGGTGAGGGAGAGGAATGTGGTGAATGTGTGATGACTGATGACCTTATATGGAGGACACTAGCTGTGTCCTATTGCTTCCGGCCAGGAGACCCATGGGAAAAAGTGCCACTGTCCCAGGCTTTCACTAACAGTGGAACTCTGCCATATAAAAAACTGGACTGAAATCTCCCAGACCGCATGACCACCAATAAATGAAAAGCCTGCTGCAGTCACCACTGAGCGCAGGGACTGTTGTCTTCTACACTCTATAGGAGTCTGTACCTACCCAAATATGCAGTGTGGGGTAATTTTGGCAGTGAGGTTGGTGGTTTTTTCAAACAGGGTCTCATGCAACTTAGACTGGACTTGGACTCAGGGAGAGACCATACCTGGAACTGATCCTTTCACTCAGCCTCCCAAATGTTGGGATTATAGGTGTATACACCATACTACATGTGGCTTTTTGAGATGAGATCTATTTAGTTCAGGTTGGTCTTAAAATTTCAGCAATCCTCCTGCTTCAGTGTTGGGATACCAGGTATGAGCAGCATGTCCACCTTATTTTGATGGACAGGGACTATATACATCATCTCTGCAGTCCATTTTGGTTTTGCTGGGGACCTCCATGCACATGCCCACTATGCTGTCCTGTTCTGGGCGTACCAAAACAAACTCAAGGCTGTGTCACTTGACTTTAGCTCAGTGGAGCCTTGATGAGTCTTGTGGCAGGCAAATATCCCTCAGGCCAGCCTCCACTTAGCACTCAAGATTCCATGGGCTTCCTAGCCCACATCTTCTAGCAAACTAGTACTGCCTCTGCATCAGCTACTGGAAGGCCATGGTCCATGGTGGCTACATCACACATTCCATCACATCATGTTCCACCGTCTCGTTTGAAACATAGTTCCCACAGGGACCTTGTGACCAGAAGGCAGTCAGCTGGATGACTCAGAAATGATTGTAGAATTCAAAAATAGGAAGCTAAAAATATGCAGGGTGGCTGGCTTCTAGGAACAGGCGGGTCTGTGGTTCTAACCCTTGGTGGGGGATGGGCAAGAGCCAAGGTCCTGCTAGCAGCTGAGGAGTGAAGGGCAGGCAAGGTGGACAGAGTCATCTGTGAGTGCAGGGCTCTGACTGGCCGTTAACAGGGGGTGGGATTATGCAGAGGTGTTCAGGGCAAGACTGGGCACAAGCTGGGGCGATGCAGAGATTTGTGGGGGTATGAACCCTGATGATACTCATGTTTTAATTCCCCACAATGGCTGAAGGGACTCTGTACATAGGGATAAATTCCTCTGGTGGCCCACAAGTCCTGTAGCAGCAGCAACCAAGACCCAATACTAAACTGTCATTTGAAGAGGGGAGGGGAATGCAACAAGTGACACAATGAGAAGGCTCAAAAAGCCAGGGAACATTCTCTTAAACCTCAAAGGACACAGGCCTGCTCACATCTGAACTGAGCTCTGTACTCCTGAGTTGTTTAAAAAAAAAAAAAAAAAGTGACACCCAAGTCCATCAACCTGTGACTTGCCACAGGACACTTAAAGGGCATCAGCAAGTCTCAGGAGGGTTTCCCAGGCTGCCTAGAGTATGGGCCCTAAGGACTTGTAAGGCTGACACACTGGTAATCACAGCACTTGAGAAGCAGAGGCAGGATGGTCGGGAAGGATTTCAAGGTCACTTCAGTTACTCTGTGAGCTTGAGGCCAATCTAAGTTATACTTGGGTTACATGACACCCTGCCTCAAAACAAACCAAAAAGCCTCAAAATGGGGGGGGGGGTTGGGGTTGGAGAGGACCATGGCAAACACCCACCAGAGACCTTGGACAGGCCTACACATATTCTAGGGAGTCAAGATAAAAGGGTAGTGGCTGCAGGCAGGTGGGACACAGGGTCAGAGTAAACAGGATGAGTCCCCAGATTGGTCAGGAGAGGCCTTGGTGACCAAGAGTTTGAGCAAGGCAGAACAGAAAGATGGATAGGTGCTAGGCTGAAAAGTACAGTAGGCTAGAGGCTGGGGGGGGGGGGCGGGGGTGCAGCCAAAGGAATGCAGTAGTGAAGGGACCAACAATAATGGGGGGTGGGTTGGGGAGAGCAGAAAAAGGGAAATGAGGGCACAGGACCTCAGTGCCAAGAAATGGTTGATTGATGTTTGAGCACAGGCCCAGGCTGGTCCCTTGTGAAGCAAATACTAGGTTTAGGACAGTAAGGTGAAGCTCTCCACTTTGTCAGGTAAGCCCTGTGTCTAGGAGCCTCAACTCTAGACATGAATTTCTGAGATAGTGTCTTTCCACATAGTCTCAGCTGGTCTGTAGTTTGCTATGTAGACCAGGCTGTCCTCAAACTCATAGATCAGATACCCACCACTCTCGGCCTCCCTGAGTGTTATGATCAAAGGTTACCCAGCCAAAGGTTAGAAAGTTGGGACAAGGAATGGTTATTTGGCTACCCAGTGTGGCAGATAGGGCCCCCTGCTGGTGTGAAGCAAACCAGACAGGAAATCCCACCACCCCATTCACAATTAGCACATAGGGCTGTAAAGTCAGCCTGTTGGACTTCTGAAGGTCCTTAACATAGTGGAAATTTTGGGTGACAAGGGTGTTTCCAGGTAAAGACACTTGCTTTTGTTTTTGTGAGAAGGTCTCATTTGTAGTCCTCATTCACGCTGCCATGGAGTGTGATTCTCAACTCTCAAGTGCTAGGATTTCAGAGTGAGCCACAGCATCTAGGCACTTGCTTAAAGGCCACGGTGAAGCCCAGGAGCTGCCCTTTACACCACAGTCCTTCCCAGAGGCAGCAATTTTGGTGATTGCTGAATTTTGTAGTGAATTTTAGAATCGGTTCTCACAGGAGCTGATGTGCCAGGCTCCTGCAAGTAAGTACCACTTGTCTGGGGGGTCAGGAGCTGCTCTCTGATGGCCTCCAAGGAAATGGGACAGATGTCCTCATGGCTAGCTGTGAGGCAGCCCAGTGCTCTGAACAACAGAAGGGCTCTCAGGCTTTCAGCACATGTGTCATTAGCTCTGACTTCCTCCTTGCAGGACCAGGGACTTCTCTCAAGGGAAGGAGCAACAGTGGAGAACATGAAGGGGAAGCTCCCTGTGTCCCCAAAGCTCAGGGAGCAGAGGTTCTATACATACAGCTTTACTTCAGGAGTTGGCCCAAGCTTGTGAGCCGGCTCCGGCCTGGACCAACAAAGTCTTCACGGTGCTGGGCACAGAAGGCACTTGGGGATGCATCACGGTGTGTATCAAGTCCACAGTGACTCCTGACAGGAGCGACGCCAGGCTTGTCACAGTGCTTCTGAGGAAGACACAGTTGAGTTCCATAGCACTGGGGACACATCCTCACTGTCACTCACAGGTCCCTGGGCCTGAGGTGCTTCTTCCACCAGGTCAGCCACCAGGTTCAGCCGGCAGGCCCGCAGTGCCTTCACCAGTCCATCCACCGTGGCTTTCTCCCTCTCGGCAAACTTCCAGACTCTCAGAGCCTCCCTTACCTGCTCACTCAGGCTTCGGGGGTACCTCTCCTCAATCCCATCAATTTTCGCATCAGACAATTTCAGCTGACGGGCCAGTCTCTTCCAGTCTCTCCCCACATTGTCACACACGATGTCAAAGGCCACCCGCAGATCTAAGAGGGAAAAGAGCGGCATGTCTTACGGAGTTCAGGGAAGTCTTCCCATGGACTGCCAAATGTGGACCTGTGCATTTCAAAGTCAACACCAGTAAAGCCAGGCAGGTAGGTGCTGTGCAGGTGGAGACACTTAGCAGCCCTGGAGCTATTTCAAGAGACCTACATTGACCCAGTCCTACTCCCTCAGAATGGGTCACAGTGAGGCACAGCTTAAAAGACCAGAAACCAAGGAGAGGCTGGGGAGTCATAGGGGAAAAAAAATTAGGGCCATCTTCACACACTCAATAATGGACTAGCCAAAGTCCCCCAAAACCTCATTCACTTCATTTTACACTATGACATTTGCTGGTTTGACTGGGGACCATGGAAGGGTTATCCTTGCTACATTATGGAGTCCCTGCCAGGCACAGGCAAGGTGAAAGGAGATGAATGACTAAGTGGTCCAAGGAACCCTGGGCAGTGGCTAAGAACCCTTTGCTGGCTTCCTGCCATGATACCAAACACTTAAATGCCTCGGAGATGTGAATAGACACCTATTTTCTTTATATATACATATATATATATATATATATATTTATTACCCTGGCAGAAGAAACAATCTATGTCTCAAATAGTTCTGTGTATGAAACAAACTGTGCAGCATGTGGTGTCAGTACTTGAGGGTCTGATTTTGTCTGCATTTTAGATTTCAGAGATTTTGACTACAGACGGATGGAGACCTTTACAGATCCAAGGGCTCCTATAAGTAAGGATTAGTCCCTCAATGGTGGAGCCAATCATGGAAAGGAGAGTGGATCATGACAGCTCTGAGCTCACCGGTGAGTTAGTGCATTGATTACTGATTCAACGGTGTTACTGGGAGGTGGTGGAAACCTTCAGAGGCAGGCCTACTCAGAGGCAGTGTAACGGCTGTACTGTTGGGGGAGTGTGTTTTGTCCCAAGCTCCTTCCTGTCACCCTGCTTCCTGGCCACCATGAGGTAATCAGCTTTGCTCCACCATGCCCTCAGCTGCTTTCATTTCTGCCTCACTGCAGACCAAGAGCAGCGGAGCCAACCAACCTGGAGCTAAACAAATCTTTGCCCCTTTAAATGGCTTCTTGGGTATTTGTCACAAACGAGGAAGAGCCTAACAGATGCTTAACCTGTATCCACACCCCAAGGCCAGGCTGATGTGGCTCAGTTGTAGCTGCTATCCACTGTGCATTATGGGTAGGCCTAGTGCCTTCTCTCTACTACAAAACGGAAGTACCAGCGGATAACCAAGCACTGTGCACTCTGGACCGAGAAGTTCAGCGGCAGCACAGTTCTCCTTTGGCTAGGAAGCACATTGCTTGGACAGAGACACTCCCACTACGAAATAGTGACGAGCAGCAAGCACACTTGACCTTAGCTTACCTACTCTCTTCAACTCTACCCTCACTGGGGTTAGGGTGCTTTAGCCACATCCATTTCTTAGCCGAGTTTTCAATTTACCCGGAGAGTGGGGAGCCAAGCACTACAGGTGAGTTAATCTTGGTGCTGGGTTCAACCCGCACTGCAAGTAAGATGCACAAAAGAACTCCCTAGTTCCCGCTCGCCCTTCTGGAAAAGTGGGCGTGCCGGAGAGCCCTTCCGAGTAGCAGCTCGAAAAGGGGACCCTAAGGCTAGGGTAGTGGCCAGGTTTCCCCGCCCATTTCCCCCTGGCCTCCTCTCTTCACCCCATCCCACACCCCCAGCCCACCTGCCTCCCCCGGCGCGGCCGAAGCCGCCGTCCCAGCTTCGAAGGCGTCTAGGCGTTGCAGGAGGTCGTGTCTGCGCAGCGAGGCCAGCAGCTCACGCAACAGCCCGGTGCGTGTGCGATCCAGATCGTTCTGCTCCAGCAGCACTGTGAACAGGTCCAGGCCACTCTGCACGCGCTCCAGCTTTCGTTTGCCCACGCGCTCACGGCACAGGAACTTTAGCTCCATCAGATCGCTGCTCGACAGGCTGCTGGACAGCGAGTGCAGCAGGACCAGGAAGGAGTCCATGACAGTGACGTGCCGGGCAGCTTCTGAGGGATTCCACATAGGAAATCACCGCGGGCTTTCCCGCCCAGTATCTCGCGAGAATTCCAAACCCCACGCATGCGCCTCGAGGGTGGATGTATCAGCTTCCGCCCGGACTGGCAGCGGCTGTCTTGGTGTCTTAGTAGTTTCAACACCTGAGCCGCAATGGCTTCAGCGCTTGCGCGCATTGGTTCTCCCGTCTGCACCAGAGTCTGGGTGGGAGCTTGGGGTTCCGTGTTTACAACTGAGGAGCTGTGCAGCTCCGTGTGTGTGTGTGTGTGTGTGTGTGAGCTTGGGGTTCCATGTTTACAACTGCGGAGCTGTGCAGCTCCGTGTGTGTGTGTGTGTGTGTGTGTGTGTGTGTCCGGGAGAACAGCTGCGTGTGTGTGTGTGTGTGTGTGTGTGTGTGTGTGAGCTTGGGGTTCCATGTTTACAACTGCGGAGCTGTGCAGCTCCGTGTGTGTGTGTGTGTGTGTGTGTGTGTGTGTGTGTGTGTGTGTGTGTCCGTCCGGGAGAACAGCTGCAGGCCGCAGGGATGCTCTCTGCAGCCAGATGAGGTTCAAGCACGATTTAAAAAAGATTGATTTATGGGCTGGAGAGATGGCTCAGAGTTTAAGAGCCCTGGCTGGCTGTTCTTTCTTTCAACTCCCAGCAAACACATGACGGCTCACAACTATCTGTAACTTCAGATCCCGCGGCTTTGACACCCTCTTCTGGCAGGCACACATATGCTACGCGGGCGAAATACCCATACATATAAAACATTTTTTAAAATATTAAGAAAGATTTGTTTTTGCTCTTTGCCTGAGCATTTGTAGTTTAAGTGCCCCTCACGGGTGCAGTGCCCACGGAGGCCAGAAGAGGATGTGGAGTCTCTAGACCAATGGTTCTCAACCTTCCTAATGCTGTGACCCTTTAATACAGTTCCTCGTGTTGTGGTGACACCCCGCCCCCGCACTATTATTTTCGTTGCTACTCCATGACTGTAATTTTGATACTGTTATGAATCGTAATGTAAATATCTGTGTTTTTTGATGGTCCTAGGTGACTCCAGTGAAAGGACCAATGGATCCAAATGGGTCGCTACCCACAGGTTGAGAAATGCCACCCTACAACTGGAGTTACAGTTAGTTGTGAGCAGCTGCATGGGTCCAGGTCCTCCACAAGAGCAACAAAGTGCTCTTAACTGTTGAGCCATTTCATGGGCCCAGTAATGTGTATATTAAAGTCAGCAAAAGAGAGGAATATTGTTATCACTCTGCAGACCAGGCTGGCCTCAAAATCAAAGAGATCTGCCTGCCTCTGCCTCCTGAGTTCTGGGCTTAGAAGAAGGCATGTGAGACCACCTCCCCGAGCTTTCACTAACAATACAATATGTTCCCCACAGCTGTGCGCAATTACTATGCATGAGTTAAAAATAAAGTAGAGGCTTGTTTGAGAGCTTCAGTAGGCAAACTGCCTGTTTTACAAGCATGAGGACCTGAGTTAAAATCCTGATGCCCACATAAAAATCCAGAAAAGGCGGTGTCCATCTATAACCCCAACTCTATCAGAAACAGGTGGACTCCTGGTGCTCATGACCAATTACCGTTGCTGAGTGGCTGAGCTGCAGGTTCAGTGAGACCCAGCTGTGCACAGCATACCCAGCAGAGTGGTCTTGCATTTCTTTAAATTGGTTTTATTTATTTATTTATTTATTTATTTATTTATTTATTTATTTGAGACAGGGTTTCTCTGTGTAACAGCCCTACCTGTCCTGATACTAGCTCTGTAGACCAGACTGGCCTCAAACTCACAGAGATCCACATGCCTCCTAAATGCTGGGATTAAAGGCGTGTCCTACCACCACCACTACCACCACCACCCTGGCCTTTAAATTGATTTGTAATTCACTCCTTTAAAGTGTGCAATTCTGTGTTTGTTGTCTCACTATGTACCCCAGGTAGACTCCAGAGGTTGTATAGAGAGACAAATGAGAGCTGCAAAGGTGGCTCAGGGGTTAAGACCTCTTATTTGCTCTTCCAGAGGACTTGGGTCTGGTTGCCAACACCCATGCTTGGCTACTCACAATTGTCTGTAATTCTATCTCCAGGGGATCAGAGGCCCTCTGCTGGCTTCTGTGGGGCACTGACTCATGTGAGCACAGAAGTGTACACATTTTTACTAGGCAGGAATTGATTCATAGGAGCAGAAGCAACAGAAGGGGGTTTATTGGGCTGGTGTAAGTGAGGGCTGGGAGTCTAGTGATGGCTGTCTGCATCCTGCAGATGAAGGGAGAGGTTCCCAGTCCTGAAAGCTAGTTGCCTCAGTAGTCCCAATCCCTGGAGAGCCACTGGCATGGTGTTTGTTGTTTACTGCCCCCCACCCTCGTGTAACTTAGTATGACCTTAAAGTTCAGATTCTCCTGCCACTACCATCCAAGCGCTGGGGTTGCTGGTGTGCGCCACCAGAACCATCTTATTTTTTGTTCTGAGTGTCAATGTCCTGTTAGATGTGTGTGCTGTAAACACCTCCATGTTTTGTGCACCATTTTTCAGTTTCTTCATAAGGACCTGCAATAAAAGTTCATCATTTTTTTAATTTTTAATTTATTTATTTTGGTTTTTAAAGACAGGGTTTCTCTGTATTACTTTGAAGCCTGTCCTGGAACTCACTCTGTAGACAAGGCTGGCTTCAAACTCACAGAGATCTGGCTGCCTCTGCCTTCTGAGTGGGATTAAAGGCATGTACCACCAACACCCGGTATGTGTGTTTAAAGATGGTCTTGTCTCCACTGCAGGGAAAGAACAACATAGTAGAAACCTCCTCCTAGGGCCTGTATTTTTTTGTTTGTTTATTTTTGGAAATAGGGTTTCTTTGCATAGCCTTGGCTGTCCCGACACTATCTCTGTAGACCAGGCTTGCCTCAAACTCAGAGATCCTCCTCCTTCTGCTTCCTGAGTGCTGGGATTAAAGGCATGCACCACCACCTGATTTAGATACTTAAAAATCTTAATCCCAGACCCATGTCACCCAGGCATTGTCCTAGCCCCTGGACAGAGGCCACGAAGGCATGCTGAGGGAAAGACTCTATAGATGCAGTGAAGATGACGCCCTAGGTTGGGAGATCTACCTGGCTTGCCTCAGAGGACCTATCTGGGCCTGAACATTCAAGGGGTTGGAACTAAAGAGCCCTGAAGAGGAAGAGGCCCAAATCAACACTGGTGGCACAATTATGCCTTGGGTCTTGCAGACCTGGCTGGGGGGAATCTGGACCAACATGGAGTTCATTTCATAGGGTCCCTTTGGTACTTATGCCTCACAGAGTTTCAGGACATGTTTGCAGCAGCATCAGCAGCATCATTTGCACCCAGGATCTAGGTTAATGCTCCCTGGAGTGCAGATCCCCACATTGCCACCAGAGGGCAGCAGCCACCAACAGAAAGAGGTCAGCAGTCAGCAGTCAGCACAAAGGGAGGCTGGTTGGGTACGAAGGGACAGAGATTTCAGATTAACCCCAGTGCTCTGTTTCAGAGATTTAGCATCTCCCACCCGAGTGCTGGGATTACAGGCACAAACAACCAGGCCTGGACAAATCTACACATTTAAATGCAGATTTTCCTAGCTTTTATGTAGAAAATTTTTTAAAAAAATGAGCAAGAAATGAGCCTGTGGAGTGGATCAACTGCAGCTGCCTTATACTCACAACAGGCCCCACCTTTAGAAGCAGCAGGGTTCACAAACACCATCCCCATGGCCTGACATCACTCACTGTGTACCTAGTACAAGTTTCAGAACTTGAGGCTGGAGAGATGGCTCAGCAGTTAGGACTACTTGCTGCTCTTCCAGAGGACCTGAGATCAATACACAGCACCCGCACCCACCAGGAGGCTCACAATAACTCATAACTCCAACTCCAGGTGACCAGATGCCTTCTGGCCTCTGAGGTTACCTGCACTAAGGTGCACATGTCCACATTCAGACACGTTCACATACATACAATTAAAAATAAAAGAAAATCTTAACAAACAAATAAACAGAAAGAAGTTGCAGACCCAGGACCCTCCTTGTCCTGCTCCATCCATGAAGCCTCTGCAATGGTAGATGTCCAATGCTAGGTACCCGGTTCTGGTTCAAAGAGATGGTCTTCCAGCCGGTTTTCTGGGTAATTACAGCTTTTTTGGCAGCTACAACCTCACCTAAAATAACACCCCTGGCTGTCTGGCATTTTGCCAACAAGTCCCAGGCTTTTGTGGCCATATTAACCATTCTCCATTCATCTCATGCCAAGTTTATTGTATGCCTGCCTGCAACCCTCTCTTTAGTGTTCCATTCAATAGTTTCCCCTCGAATACTGAATGAATCCCTAGTGTCAACCAAACCCCACTGATGTGCAGCTCAGGCCACCATGATCAGCCTCCATGAAGCCAGAGAGTCCTACCTGTTATCTTGCCACCTCCTTACCACTCCACCTCAGAACTCATCAGGCACACTACCACCTCAGGGCCTTTGCTCATGCTCCTCCTGTCCAACCTCCCTCCAGCCCTTCATGTGTCTGGGCACTCACTGCTTGTAACCCTGTGCAGTAACTCGGGACAGCCTCACCCGTTTATGAAGCTGCCGGCATCTTTTGTTTTCCATGTGGGACTATATGATTGTGGGATTCATCATCTATCAGCACCTGGCAACCTCTTTAGGGGCATCCAGAGGGAAGGGCATGTCCCCTCTGTCCCTGCAAGTGCTTCTTCAGTTCTGCAGGGGGCTCTGTTAGGAGACCTCATGAAGTGAGATGCTAGACCCTCACCTGTCACCCTCAGGTGACAGGGCTTCAGAGGAAGGATCCTGCAATTCTAACTCCAGGTAAGTCCTCTCTCTGGGCCATGAGAAGGGGGGCGGGCTGCAGTTCTGACTCAGGATAGGTGCTCTTGAACCCTCCACATGGGAAGTGTTCCAGGGCTTTAGACAGTTAGGTGTTTTCTTTTTTTAGACAGGGTCTCACTATGTAAGTCTGGATGACCTTGCATCCACACAGGTCCACTTGCCTCTGCCTCCCGAGTTCTGGGATTAAAGGTGTGTGACTCTTGAGTCACCTAGGAACTGCAGTTTTCTACCGGGTGTGTGTGGGAGTGTCAAGGGCAGGGAGTCCCAGAGGCTGCTGCTGCTCTGGGGAGCTTCCAGGGCCAGGTGGTGTGTAGACTCCGGCTAAGCTTGTGACTATAGCTAAGGGGGCTGACTGCTTCACTGGTGTTTTGAATGTTTGAAGGAGTTTTGGTTTTGTGAAATTATGGTGAATATGGACAACATTTTAGAATAAATGTCCCCACCTGGCCACACAAAAACACTGGCCCCGTAAAGTAGCCCCCCCATGGGATTTTGGGATAATGTGTGATGCTAATTCCAGTGCTCTGGGTTGTAGATGATGACCTAGACGTGAGGCTGTGAGACAGGTGGCTGAGGGATGACTGCAATCTCCACTGAAGCATAGCTTCATACCTAGAGGGCTCCAGTACACATGTCCACACACAGGCACACAGCACATCTGCACCCAGACACCTGAAAGCACATTACGCATGGGTCATGGGTACACACAGAAGTGAATGCAAACACATGCACTGTGTGCCTGTGTGTAGCGTGTACAAACACACTCACATAGGGAAGTATGCATGTGGAAGCAAGTGAAATATCAGCACACAATGCACTTTCAAGGCATAAAAGTACACATACATACATGTGTGCATGCAGACATGCACATTCAGACACAAACACATGCAGGCACACGCTAGTACACACATGTATTTACATGTGCACAGAAGCACACACAAACACTTACACAGCACATGCGCGCACCACAGAGAGATGGCATCCCAGGACCATCTAGAACAAGTCACACATCCACCACAAAAGAGATGAATGTTCTCAGGTCAGTCATTTTCAAATCCGCAGAATCAACCACAGGGCTCATCGGGGGCCTTGAAAACAGGAACAGGCTGGTGGGACAAGAGCACTCAGAAGAGGCCAGGGTTGTGTACTCAAATTTATTTTGTCAAATGCTCAGCCACAGTCTCCTATGGGTGTGTGTACATTCATTTTTGCTTTGTTTTTGTTTTTGATTTTTTTTTTAAAAAATGGTTTCTGTAAAAGAATTTTTGGTAATTACCTAATTTTGGGTATGGTAGCTATGTACAAAACATCACTGGAAATCACTTCACGGCACGAGAGGAAACAGAAGCATCAGGTCTCATGATTTTAGCAGACAATGAAAACCTTTTGAAGGCCATGACTGGACCCCAGCTGCCGACTACAGGCTGTCAGCCTTGCCCTAAGGCGAGTGTAGGGAGTTGCCTCTTCCAGCTTGGGGGAGACACTTGGGGCTACAGTGCTGAGAGACTTCCCACAGCTGGTTAGCACACCAGCTGAAGCTGCCTCATGAGGCTTGTTTTAGAGGCTATTACAACAGCAAGTACCAAGGACTTCATGTCCCTGTGAGTGAAAATATAGGCGTGTTACCAAAATAGAAGCCTTTATTGAGAAAAATCTTTGGTAGTAATGATATTCTAATTTCCTCTCCATATTTGGTTAACTAATGGAATAAACTCCTTCCACCTTGAGCTACAGAAAGAAAATCCCTCAAATCCACCACATTATTGATTTTTAAGACAAAAACCAATAGGTGTTCTAAAAAGCGGCAAAGGAACCCACGGAGGCCCTGGGGCTTGGTGAAGCCCATCAGCCTTTCTAGAGATGCCCACCTGTTACCCAGCTTGTCTCACAAGAAGGTCATCATCTTGGTGTGAGGGGCCCTTGGGTGGCTGGTGTGGAGCCTACCTGCCAGGGAACAAAGGGTGCTGGTCAACAGGGGCACCTGTACCCCTCAGGTTTTACTGGCACACAGTATGAAGCCACCATGTGTTACTGTTTGAGTAGCCAGGTCTGAACCTCTGAGCTCCCAGAAGGAAAGACAGTGGAGTCATCCAGCATGTCCAACTACAGCACGTGAAGACTTCAGGAGCCTGAGTCTAAGTATCCTCCTGGAAAATGTCACCAGGCTCCTGGACACCACTCTGTACCTATCCCAAGGCATCCTTCAAAGGATGCAGACTCAGGGCCTTGGCCCCTTACCACTGTGGTGGTGATGGGATTTACATCCCCCAGCACGAGTCTGTGGAATATGCCCTTGCCCCGTTTAGCCCTGTCACCAGCCATCCTTGGCATTGAATACTAAGGATAAAAATGTCCCTGCTTAATGGCATTGTGCAAAAATGAGAAGAAACAGAAAGAAAAAAGAAGACGGTTGTCACATCAGAGTGGCCCTCCACACGTGCACAAGAGCCACGGGCCCTGGTGGGGCTAGAAGTGCTGGCTCTGGAGGAAACCGGGTGGTCACTTGGTGATGGTCAGAAGCCTTCTGGCTGCTGGGCTGCCATCAAGGCTACAGTGCACCCCCGTGGTATTCATAGCTGGGGACTGGGCTGCTGTCCCCTGCCTCTGGCCGGGTTGTGGGGCTGTGGTTGTTGCAAGGCACATCCCTTGGCTTCTCCTTCTCCATCCATGTGTCTAGTAGCTGCTGCTTGCCCTGTTCCTCACGCATGAACAGCTCCACCATGAGAACCTTCTCCTTGTGGATCTGCTGGCTGATGTCTTTGGGGATGTCAGGGATCACCCAGTCCACGAAGTCACTCATGAACATCACCAGGTTCTACAGGGAGAGAAGTGATGGGGATGGAGCCAGAGGGGCCTGGAGAACGCCCCAGCCTCTGTGTAGTGTCTGTATCACCTGTGCACACCACTTGCACACCCTCACTTGGTTGCCCCACCTATGCACGATCCAATTATGACCCTCACCTGTGCATCCACCTGTGCACCCCACCTGTGCACCCCACCTGTGCACCCACCTGTGCACCCACCTGTGTACTCCCACCTATGCACCCACCTGTGCACCCACCTGTGTACTCCACCTGTGCACCCACCTGTGCACCCACCTGTGCACCCACCTGTGCACCCACCTGTGTACTCCCACCTGTGCACCCACCTGTGCACCCACCTGTGTACTCCCACCTATGCATCCACCTGTGCACCCACCTATGCATCCACCTGTGCACCCACCTGTGCACCCCACCTGTGCACCCACCTGTGTACTCCCACCTATGCATCCACCTGTGCACCCACCTGTGCACCCACCTGTGCACCCACCTGTGTACTCCCACCTATGCATCCACCTGTGCACCCACCTGTGTACTCCCACCTATGCATCCACCTGTGCACCCCACCTGTGCACCCACCTGTGTACTCCCACCTGTGCACCCATCTGTGCACCCCACCTATATACTCCTACCTGTGCACCTGACCTGTGTACTCCGACCTGTGCACCCCATTTGCACATCCCCACCTGTGTGCCCCACCTGTGCACTGACTCCTGTCTACCTGCTCCACATGGCAAAACTCACCCCTCCACTCCCTGTCCCTGTGCACATTCTATTCTTCTGGGCCTCAGTGTCCCAGAAGATGTAACCAGACAGGGAGGTGCAGCCCCTGGAAAACTTTCTCCCTTCTCTTTTTGAGAAGCTGGGGATGAAGCTCTCTTGTGCTCCACTACCCCGTGTTGGCTTTCTTGAGGAATCTGAACTGAGTGGGCAAGAAAATGCTCGGCAAGATGGATTCTTCAGAATGACTGACTACCCAGGCCATGATATCAACAGCAATGATATCAACGCTGCAAAGAACACTAGTTAAGCCAGAAATGGCTGGGAGTGAGCTGAGGGCTGGTCTTTGGAGCCCGAGGCCGGCTAGGTTCTTGAGCTCTGGCTATGTCAGGGACAAAATGCAAGTTAGTCAGCTTGTATGGAAGACCAACATTCTTGTTCATCAAACACCTTTGGGGTGCATTTGTCGGCACCTGAGCATCGGTGATTGGCCTTAGTTCAAAGATGACTCTCCTAGCTATGCTCCAAGCTGTGAACTATGGCACAGCTAAGGACCCTCTGTCCTCTTGCCTCCCTGTTCCCAGACTGGCTGTGGGAGTAAGTGACCAACCATTTAGGATGATAAGGACCTATCATGTTCTGGTGGCTGGAGCAGAATGTGCCTGCTGAGATGGGCAGGGCGGTCCGCATGGAAACCCTCCCCCACTACTCTCCTGCCTGCTATGATATCTCCTTTGTTAGAGCAGTGATTCTCAACCTTTCCTGTAAATCAGATATTTACATTACAATTATCAGCAGTAGCGAAAATACAGTTACGAAGTAGCAATGAAACAATTTTAAGGTTGGGGTCAGCACAGCATGAGAACTGCATTAAAGTGTCGCAGCTTTAGGAAGGTTGACAACCACTGCCCCAGAGCTTCCATCTGTGCTGCATAGTTTTATGTCAACTTGACACAAATTAGGGTCATCTGGGAAGAGGGATCTCTAATTGAAAACCTGCCTCCATCAGATTGGCCTGTAGGCAAGCCTGGGGTCATTTTGTTTTGTTAAAAAAAAAAAAAAAATCACATTATTTTATCTAATGTACTTGGGTGTTTTGCTTGAGTGTATGTCTGGCTCAGGGAGGCCAGAAGAGGGCACTGGATCTCCTGGGACTGGAGTTACAGACAGTCATGAGTTGCCATATGGGAATCCAACCCAGGTCTCTTGGAAGAACAGCATTTTCTTGATAGATAATTGTGAAATGTGAAAGGGCCCAGCCCATGGCAGTAGGGGCCATGGGCAGATGGTCCTGGAGGGTAAAAGAAACAAACCCAACAAAATATAGGGAACAAGCCAGTAAGCAGCACCTCTCCATGACCTCTGCATCAGCTCCTGCCTCCAGGTTCCCACCCAGTCTGAATTCCTACCTTGGCTTCCCTCGGTGATAGAGTGTAACAAACACATTCTTCCCCAAGTTGGTTTTGGTCATGGTCTCTATCATAGCAACAGAAAAGCAAGCTAGGACATCACCTCAAGCCTAGACCAATACCTTCTGTACCCACTTCAGTGACAGGCTGATGGAGGCATGTAATGAGCACAGCAGGGGACGGACCTGGTGCTGGAATTTCCCAGCTCTGAGTGTTCGGTGTGCTGTTGTTCTGGCATGGGTTGCCAGGATGCCAGAGGATGTGCATGGCTCTTAGCACCATACTTAGGCCTTCAGTCAGTGTGTGTGTGTGTGTGTGTGTGTGTGTGTGTGTGTGTGTGTGTGTGTGTGTAGTTTAACCCATAACAGGTACTGTTGGCTGGGTCTGGAGTTATCATCTCAGAACCATTGCCTCCAGTCTGAACTTACCTGGCCCATGGCACAGAGACAGAGGGTGACAAGTGGGGACAGAGACTGGCCTCTTTTTCCTCCAAGTCTGCTCTATGGAGCTCACTGTTCTTACCACCTCACCCCTTCCTTGCCTGTTCCAGGACATTCTCTTGGTCACTGCTAAGGGTCTGGTCAGTCAGTGTTCTCAGAGTCCCTGAAGACACATCAAGGCCCGTCTCCTGCCATTATCACCTCCCTCCTGTCTGCACTCCCAGGGGCTGTGCCTCCACTTTCTGGAGGCAGATGTCCCCAACAAAACACATACCTGGAAGACGATGACAAATGCCAGCCGGGCAGCCAGGACAGCCCAGAAGTCCTTAGAAATGTCATACTTGTGTTCTGACCATGGGGGCTCACGGTAATCTTTGTACCTGCAAAGGGTGTGTGGGGTCAAGGGTAGGTCAAGTAGACCTCAAGAGAGAAGCTTTGGGGTTGAGCCAGGGTCTGTGGCCATGCAGGGGAGGCCCACTCTCTGCCAAGAAATCCTCTCCAAGCTGGATGGGGTGGTCAGGGCCCAGCAGCTTGGAGAAAACAGGCAGGCACTAGGAACTTGGGACAGTCTTGAGACTCAGGACTTTGGAGACAGACAAGATGCAGTGTTTGTAGGTCCAGGGGTGGGGATACCCTGATTTAAAACGATGTGTTTGTTGTCAAATTAGCAAGGATGATTTTTTTTCTTTTAGATGTAATTATGTGTGTCTACAAATGTGTATGCAGTGTCCTCAGGGGCTAGACGGGAGTGGCAGATCACCCTGGAGTTGGTGTTACAGGTGGCTGTGAGCTGCTGGATGTGGGTTATGTGATCTGAACTCAGGTCCTTTGGAAGAGCGGCCAGGACTTATAACCCCTCACTCCAAGTGGTTGATCTTGATTGTCTTCTTGGCTGGATTTAGAGTCACTGGGGAGGGCTGGCAAGATGACTGTGTGTAAAGGTAACAGTACCAAGCCTGACTACCTGAGTTTGACTCCTAGGACCCACAAAGGTAGCAAGAGAAAACTGAGTCCTGAAAACTGCCCTCTGCCCTCCACATGTGCACATGGTACACCCACACACCCAAACAAAGAAACAAATAAATGTAATGGAGTCAGTTACCATGGACCTCTGGGTGGGTATGAGGGTTTAACTGAGGTGGGAAGACCCACCCTGAAAGTGGGTGGGCCCTCCGGAGGCTGGAGCAAGCTGATGACCAGCATTCATCACTGTCTGCTTCCTGTCTATGGGTGAGATGTGGCCAGCCCTTCTACACTCCTGCCTCCGTTCTTTCAGATGAACTGTGCCCTCACACTGCAGACCAGGACAGACCTTTCCTTCCTTAAGTTCATTTTGTTGTTGTTGTTCTTTGTTTGTTTGTTTGTTTATTTTTTATTTTTTTTTTTTTGAGACAGGGTTTCTCTGTGTAGCTCTGGCTGTTCTGGAACTCAATCTGTAGTCCAGGCTGGCCTCAAATCACAGAGATCTGCCTACCTCTGCCTCTTGAGTGCTGGGACTAAAGGCCTGCACCATTACTGCCCAGTCCTTAAATTGATTTTTATCAGATATTTTGTCACAGCAATGAGACATATAACTAATACAATACAATCCCCAAAGTCAGGGCCTGGGTCTCTAGAGTAGCTGGTAAGACCCAGGCTGGTCCCTAATGGCTGAGGCCCAGGGAGGGGACACAAGGAGGAGGCACCTGGCTCCAGAAGCATACCCCTGGTGCTCAGCTCACATTTAATATCAACTTTCTGTGTGTTCCTGAGCACTTGCTTGGCCTCTCTGGGCCTCAGTCTGAACGTTCCCTCGCTCATTTGTTTATGTCATGAGCATTTGTGAGTTGTTACTAAGTGCTGACCCCATCCCAGAGGACATGTTGGTGAGAATACAGCAGATGGGGCCTTTTGTTCACGGAGGGAGTCAGACAGGAGTCTCTTGGGCCTGTTTGCCATGGAACTACCAGTTCCCCAGAGGAGACTGGCTGGGAACAGTGGCAGGTGCTGAGCAGAAGTTGTACAATCACCCTGATGGGAACAAAGAGCCTGTGCTCACAGTGCTACCACACATCTCCCCTCCGCCTTTTCTCTCTAACTCTGAGGTCACCTGGAAAACTCCTATGCATCCCCAAAAGCCCACTCTTGACTCTTTTCAACTACCATCAACCACCAGCCACACTGACCTCTGGAAGATTAATTTTCTTCTGCACTCAGCTAACTAGCCTTGTTCTGGCCCCCATGGGGAGAAGAGCATATGGTCTCTCAGGGTGGATGGGGCCGACCTGGGACAAGTCTGCTTTAGCATAGGAAGAAACAGGAGCCTGCAGGAATCTAGGTCCCAGCCACTGCTTCTGCTGCATGCTGGGCTGGGCTGGGCTCCAGCTTTGGGAGGTGGCTATGGTGGGTGCATCTGGTATATGTGGGGAGCTCAAGGTGGCTGAGTTGCAGGATTATGGTCCAGGTGGTGGGAAGTCTGGCTGGAACTGGAGTGGGGAACAGGGCCTCTGTTCGCACAGGCCAAAAGCAGACCCCATCTATGGTCCTGCTGCTTCCCTGGCTTGACCTAGAACCCTCTGCCTGTGTCCTCCCAGTGTTCAAGCCTGCTGCTCACCCTCAGCACCATCTGCCACTCTGCCAGGAGTGTGCAGAAAAAGCAAGAGTGATTTCTGTTTTCTCTTAGCGATCCCCTCTAAACTTCAATTTCCCTGAACTCTGTAATGCCCGATGGTGCCCTGGCTGAGGGTACTTTCAACAATACCGGGGTGACCTGCAGTCAGCTGCCCAATGTGAGGATGAATTTTGAGGCAGTTCCCCAAGCTGTGTACCATGACCCCAGTGGCAAATCACCTTCCTCCTCCCCTCCCCTTCTCTTTGTTCCCCAATACAGGAGTCCTCAGTCACCCCAGGGAGCATCATTGCTTCCCCAGGAGTGACCAACCAACACCACTGTGAGTGCACACACGGGGCCCCAGCCCACATATCCACCTACGAAGTTGCAATCCTACAGAGAGCAAAAGCCACCGACACTCAGAGGAAATCCACTTGGAACTTGGCCCTTTCCCTGGCTAGCTAGAGGTAGTCTGAGCCTGTCTCTCCAGGCTAGGGAGTCCCGAGATCCTAGGGCAAGCGGGTGATCTGCAGAGCTCCTGGGCACAGGAGGTTGGCAGAAGCAACAAGCTTCTGAGGTGACTTGTGTTTTCAATGTGGGAGGGTCCCCTGGGCTGGGACATTTCTGTCTTAGGCTGTGTGCAAAGAGAGAGTTTTCACATTTGGAAATCATGCTGGGAGGCCTCCTCTCAAAACCTGCCCTCCTAGGTGACACCACTCCTATTTGAATAGGGTCCCAGGCTGCTGCTCCATCCTGGCACAAAACACATAGAGATGGTGCTTCCTTTCCTTCCCTCTTTCTTTTTCCTTGTAGTAGCTACTCGAATAAATAAGTAAATAAGTTTATTATTTATAATTTATTTATCCACATATAAATATATCATATGTAACAAATATAATGCATTTATAAATACATAAACTTATTTATTTATTTACTCATTTATTTATTTACTTGAGTCAGGGTCTCATTAGCCTAGGTTGACTCAAACTCAATACATAGCCTTGAACTGACCCTCCTGCTCCCATCTTCCCAGTACAGGGATAACAGTGTCAGACACTCCCCACCTTAAAGGCGTCTTTCCTCTGCCACCGAGAAGGGGAGCATCCGGCATGGGAATCCTCAGGGCTAACCCACATCCATGCCAGAGCATGGGCTAAGGCTTCACATTGGCTTCTAGGGAATAGATATGTGTAAAACTGGAGTTCCAGGGACAGTGAAAGTTCTCTGCCCCTTCCTGCCAGCCTACCACATTTCATTTACTATTAAAGATAGGGCCTCATCTGGGCAGTGCACACCTTTAATCCCAGCTGTCGGCCTTTAAATTCTGCAGTCTGGACTTCAACTTGGAAGACAGAGGCAGGCAGATCTCTGTGAGTTTGGGGCCACTGGACTACATAGCAAGTTCCAGGCCAGTCAGGGCTACACAGTGAGACTCTGTCTCAAAAAAAGTAAGCAAACAGCCAGGTGGTGGTGACAGTGTGGCAGGCACTCTCCTTTAATCCCAGCACCCAGGAGACAGAAGCAGGCAGATCTCTGAGTTCAGGGCCAGCCTGGTCTACACAGCGAGTTCCAGGACAGCCAGTGCTACATAGAGAGAGAAACCCTGTCTCAGAAGAAAGTAAGCAAACAAATAAAGCAACAAACAAAACAAGAAACTGAGGTAGTCCAGGCTTGCCTTATCCTGCCTCACCCTCATGAATGCTTGGATTATAGGTATGCACCACCATGCATGACATCATGCATGTACATGTGTGTCTGTGTGTGCATGTGTGCGTGTTCAAATGCACACACATTTTTGTCTTTTTAATTTAAAAAGATTTTTACTTATTTTATGCATATGAATGTTTTACCTGCATACATGTCTGTTTGTTCACTACATGGATGCCTGGTGCTCATGGAGGCCAGAAGAGGGCTTCAGATCCCCTGTAACTGCAACTATAGATGATTGTGAACCACATTGTGGGTATTGGGAATCAAACACTGATCCTCCGAAAGAACTGTGCTCTTAACTCCTGAGCTATCTCTCTGGCTCATGTTATTTATTTATTTATTTGAGACAAGATCTGATGTAGTACAGGCTGGCCTCAATCTCAGTATGTAGCTGAGGATGGCCTTGAACTTCTGACCTTTTGTTTCCATCTCCCAGTATACTACATTTGAAGCATGGTCTCATGTAGTTCAGGTTGGCCTCAAACTCACAGCAACCCCTCCCACCCCCCACCCCCCCCACCCCCGTCCCCACCTCGGCTCCAAGTATGGGATTATATAGGCTCGTATAGTCATTTTACAAACTGCATGCAAGTACTCCTTGAGTCTTGCACCTGAAGAAGCCAGGGTCCTCCTTAGCCTCCCCAGCTGCCCCTGTAAGGACCTCTCTTGAGGGGGAGACATGAAAGCAGTACCTGCAGATCTGCACCTCATAGCCCAGGTCCAGTGGGTCATTGGGTGCCGTGCCATTCTGGAAGTCACTGACATTGAAGGAGGAGAGTGTGTGGTTGACGAAGCCATGCATGGTCCCGTTCTGACTGTACATGTAGAGGTACACTAGGCGAGGGATGAAATCAGACGTGAAGGAGATCACAAAGGCCTGCCAGGGAAAAGGAGTGAGTGTGAGTGTGGTTCTGAGCGAGGCAGGGCAGGGTGGGACAGGATAACATGAGTAAACAAAGGGTCACCATGTTCCTGTCCCTTTCTGCAGCTTGCAGGAGTCTGAAGGGCTATTTCTGTTGTCCTTAAATAGGGACAGCAGGGACAGTGGGCTGCCTTTCACAGGCTGTGTGGCTCTGGGTGGAGCTCCCAACCCCTCTGTGCCATCCTTCTGCGCTTGTTCAACAGGTTGACCATGCCCACTGGGCACAGACCTTACCTCCTGGGCTTGCTGGAGAAACTTGGGAGCCCAAAGAAGGAACCTGCAATCTGTAAAGTTCTTGTCTAACCTCTATGAGAGATTTCATGAAGGGACCTGAAGCCCATCAGCCTCTCGTGGCTGTGTGGCCTTGGGTATATCACCTTCCTTCTCTGTGCCTTAGCTATCTGTAACATGGGGCATGCCAGCCTATACATCCACAGCTGTATACAGAGCAACAGCTTGATATGTGGCAAGAACATAGAAGGTTTAGAATATTTTGGAAGCATCTAAAATTGTTGCTGTTGTCCTCGTGAAATGTTCTACCTGTACCTTGGCTTCGCAAGGCTGTACTCTGGGCCCCCCTCATTCTAGACCCTATTTTTGCTCCTCCTGAGTCAGGCATGGAGCTTCGGGTGTATGTCATCCCCTCTCAGTTCCTTTAACAAGGGGCCTCAAGGTCTCAATTGGAGAAGTGGACACTTGGCACGAGGGAAGTACAGTGTGGAATTTGGAGGCTCCTAGAGGCTTGAATATCACCCCTATGCCCAGTGGGCACTGGATCCCAGGTGTCCCTGCATCAGACACTGTGAGCCTGGGGTGTTGTGGGAGCTACCCCTGCTTCCCATGAGTAGTGTCTGCATACAGGGTGGGATGCTGCAGGTCCACTTGTGCCTGGGAGCCAGCCTTGGGCTTTGCTGCAGAAATATGAGGACCACAGTAGCCAAGGCCTATGCCACTCTTGACCTGAGGCCAGGAGAGGCTAGTAGGGGCCATACTATGTGCTGAAAAGACATGGTCATGGGCTGGGAAAGAAGCTAGAAGTGTGACACTGGGCTTGATAGAGATAGGGAAGCTAGTTTTATAGCTATGTTACAAATGATTTTGTTGTTTATTGTTTGTAGACAGTGTCTTAAGTAGCCCAGGCTGGCCTTGAACTCTCTATGAGGCTGAGGGTGACCTTGAACTTCAGATCCTTCTGCCTCCCCTCCCTGAGTGCTGGAAGAACAGGTGTGCTCCACCACACCAAGTTTAATCAATGCTGGGGATGAAATTCAAGCCTCGTGCATGCTACCTATTAAGCCACAGCCCTAGTCCTCAAGGGACGTTTCTAAAGAGAGATATCCCAACAGCCCCAGTGGCCTCACTACCCAGCCAGGGTTCCCACTCCCATCACTTACATTAATGATGACAGCCAGCTTCCCGACGCCTCTGAGAATGTTATACCAGATCCCTAGGGAAGAGACAGATGGGAGCGCCTGTGGACTGGTGTACAGTTTGTGGCACCCAGGTAGTGCCAGGGTGGGCCCAACATTGCAAGGACTGGAACAGCTAGAGGGCCACCCCCCAGTAATGCTGGGGAAGGCACAGGGGACCCAGGGAATGCCAATGACTTGGCTGTACTGTGTTGCCATGTCATCTTATAAGCTGTCTATGAATTCCAAGGGTACCCTGGCCCTTCCCTGTGAACCTGTCTAGAGGTGCTCACTGCAGCAAGATCCCTTTCCTACAGCCAGTGACTTGACCCCAACCTCAGTGCTTGAGCAACTCTGGCTAGGGCATCCTGACTGGTGAGGCTGGGATCTGGGATGGTCAGTAGTGTTCAAAGCAACCATTATGCTTAGATAGGAACTGGCTTCCACCTCTACAATCCCAGACCGGCGGAAGGCTTATCTCCAGCATGGTGGGACCTTGGTTCTCAGCCATCTTCCAATGGAAAGGAGAAGAAACAAGACCCAGGAAGGAGGTGAGGTGTTTGTTGGGGGTCTCCAGGCTGAGAGTCCCGCAGGGAGTCCCATGCCCTGCATCCCCCAGCCCCAACTTTACCCATGAGCCTGGGTGTGTGTTCAGGGGTCCTGTCCTGAATTGCACTCTATGAGGCCAAGAGTGTGTCCTGTCCACATCTGGCTCCCAGCCCTGAGCCAGGTCTGTGACTTCTCTGAAGTCACCCTAGGTGGATCCTACTATCTCCATTCTTGGGAAAACTATGGCAGGTATTTTGTTCCAGATGTGGTGCATGGCCATGTGCCACATGCTGTACCCTCTATCCAGGAGCAATGGGGCAGCTTTCAAGCTCTTATTTTTGAGTTTTACACTGATGGCCTACCAGGCCAGCAGGTGTTCAGCCCCAGGCACTCCAGAATCTGGGGACCATAGTTTGTCCAGTGGTCAAGCCTACAGCAATGTGCATACATTAAATATGTCTTCCTGCCCCAGCCAGTGACAACTCCAGGATAAAACAGCCCTCATTGCAGCAATAAGACACCCATGCATAGCCACCTGGTGGGAAGTCTCAGGAAGAGCCATCTCACATTCCTGCCCCTAGTGAGTGACAGTCTACTCCAAGATGAGATATTCTTGAACATCTACCTGGTACTTCCTGTGATGGAGGTGGGTCTGTCTAGCTTCCTGCTAGCAGAAGTGGTAAGCAGACAGGTAGATCCTGCCTGCTAAAAATTTCATAGGCATGAGGGAGCCAGCAAGGGCACCAGAGGGTAGGGTATCCTTGTGAGGGTCATCACAAATGTATTTCAGTCACCGGAGGTAGTGCTTCATGCCTGCACTCTTGTGTGGTGTTTCAGGAGCCAAGGGCTTTTCTGTAGACTTAGAGCAGGCTATGGCTGTTGCATCACTGTGTTTCCTTAGTCTTGATGCATTTACCTGTTAGGTGTTTGTTGACTGGCTGCAGAAATGCAGAATGCCTTTTCAGACAAAACCAGAGCAAGTGATACAAAGGGCAGGCCCTGCAGGCTGCAGACCCCTGAAAGCTGTTAAGGCCGGTGAGATGGTCTAGCAGGTAAAAGCTCCTTGATGACCAGAGTTCCATCTCCTGAACCACAGCAGGAGACAGAACCCACTTGTGTAAGATGGGCTTCCAATAGAGATCCTGTGGCTGATGGTGGAATCTCCTGTAGGTCAGCTGACCACACCTGTTTCCTATGTACAGGGGAGTCCCTGATCCTCTTGGAACTACCAGACACTTCTCAGTGCTTTACCCCCTCCCCCCTCTCTCTGACAGGGTTTCACATGGCCCAGGCTAGCTTCAAATTCACTATGAGCCAAGGATGGTTTTGAACTCTTGATCTTCCTGCTTCTACCTTCCAGGTACTAGGATTACAGGTATGTACCACTGCATCTGAATTATGTGGTGCGGAAGACCAAACCCAGAGCTTTGTGCACAGCAGGCAAGCATTCTTTCTAGGCCGAACACTAGGCACGAGGCAAACAAAGGTGAAATTCAGGGTGGCCTCCAACTTACTTCATCTTATTCAATGTTCACCTCTGTTGTTTGATCACAACTGGAAAAACTTATATCAAAGCTATTTTACTTATTAACTTAATAAATGGATTTATTTCCGAGACAGGGTCTTACTCTGTACCCCAAATTCTGGCCTGGAACTCATTATGTACCCTAGGCTGACCTCAAATATTCAGCAATCCTCCTGCCTCACCCTCCTGAGTGCTTGGATTTACAAGCATGACTATGCCCAATCTATAGATAAGTTTTTATTTGAACATTTGCTTTTGAATTTCCAGGGTATAAACCAGGAATAGGATTGCTGTGGCTGATAATTTTGCAATGCGTTTTGGTCTCAGAACTCAAGTCAAAGTGGGAGGGGACAGTTCTTCCCCTCCCTTCTCTTCAGTTGGTATTTTTGAGCAGGGTCTCACGGTATAGCCTTAGGACTCCCGGAGATCCACCTGCCTGTTTCCTGTTGGGATCAAAAACATGTCTCAGAACAACTGGCTAAAGTCTACTTTTATTTATTATTTTTGGAGATAGGATTTCACGTAGCCTAGGCTACCTTGAACTTGAGATGAGGAGCCCAGAGTGACCTTGAACTTCCAATCCTCTTGCTTGTACCTTTTGAGTGCTGGGATTACAGGTGTGTACCATCTTGTGTTGGTCTTAATTTCTCCTTCTTCCTTTCTTCCTCTTCTTCTTCCTCTACCACCACAGAGGACTCTAAAGCCCATTTCTAATAGCTTGGCAAGGAAGCATGCTGGGCAGGCCAGGTGCTCCATGAAACATGGCATCCACTCACTCAGTGCTGGGGCCAGTGACTAGGGCTTCCCAGTGCCTGCAGTACAGCTCAGGGAGTCCTTACTGCCTGAAGACTGGATTCTGCTGTCCTTTACACACACTGTGTGCCCCCCCCCAACACACACTGTATGCCACCCACCCACAGAGACTTCCACCTAACAGGCCATGTGATAAAGGTTCCTGCAGTTGGGAGCACAGCTGCCATTAGCCAGGGTCTGAGGGGATGTAGGCCACCGGCACCACTGGGTCTCCTGTCCCCTGGGAACACTGGCCCAGAGGCTCTACACGGATCAGAGGAGGAAGACAAAAGCCCCTTTGAGCAAAAGGTTACAGCTCAGGAGGCCACAAACAAGCATGTGAAAGGCAGATCACGCCTCCAACCAAACGGGCAGGAACCAGGAAGCAGTCGCTGATCCGTGAGGCCTGGGAAAAAGCAAGGAGTCTGGAGCGAGGACTCAGAGGATACACCAGGAGCCCCATGGGGGCAGGGATGACAGTAGGAGCTAGGAAGCCACCCACAGTACCCTGTTCACCCTGGTGGGTTTGCAGGTTTTTAGAGGATATCCTCTAGGGCTAGCCAGCATCTGTCCAGAAGCAAAATTCACCAAACAGTGACATACCCATTGGGGACTCCACTGGGGCATTTGTGAGACCCCAACGAGGGATAATGTGACCATATGCTTTTCTTCCTTTCCAGCAATGGGACAGTGAATTTTAGGGTTTCTAAAAAATTACCCAAGTCCCCTTTGGGCCTTCAGTATTCAGTACAGGTTTTCATTTAGGAGATGGAGGGCTTTTGTTTGGGGCAGTGAGACCTAGACTCTGCCTAGGCTTCCTCTGAGGTTCCTCTAAGGGTCCAACAGGTGGAAAGTTCCAGAAGTTTGCACTGGACACATCTTTGGGCTTGTCTTAGATTAGGATGTGGGGTATCCATCCTGCAGCTCAGACACATCCCCAGCCCTCTGGGGAATAGCTTTTACATTTGTAAAAGCAAAAGGGAAAAATGCCTGGATTTGGCCTTCCACTGAGGATCCTTGTGCCCCTAAAGCTGTGGCAAGCCAAGAAACCATGAAGGTCTCTTGTACATCTGGGGTCACTAGCCTGGCCGTACCTGAGTGTGACTTACCCCATGGCCACAATGAGGCAGAATAGAGGATACTGGGGCCTGAAAGAGTCAGGTTTTTCAGGGACTTTCAATGCTTTTAAGTCTCTGGGCAGAACCTGGGGAGGTCCACTAGGGTATCTGTCCGTTTTCATTGTCTAAGTTGCCTAGGTAGGAGGTGGCATCAGGAAGTCACAGTGTCCAAGCACAGCACAATGATCTCACATGTGAGTCCTGGCTCTGACTTTTTCATCACCCCCCCCCCGTGTGTGTGTGTGTGTGTGTGTGTGTGTGTGTGTGTGTGTGTGTGTGTGTAGGCCTTGTAGCATAGATGTGAGTGAGGCTATAGAACCACAGAGATGAAGTCACTACAGTTGATGCACTTGGCGGTTACCATGGCAACTTCATCCAGCTCACTGTAAAAGGCCATGAGGTTATAGAGAAGCCTGAATCACCTTCTCAGAGGCAGCTGGAGGGCTGGAGGATGTGGGTATCCATGGCAGGGGCTGGTCACACTACCAGAAACCAAGTGATGGCCCAAAGAGCACCCAGTCTGGCAGAGACACTAACAGAAGCAGGAGAGAATATGTAGTAGATGGTGCAATCTGAAGGTTGCCATAGGGGTGGGTGGTAATATCCAAGGATTCTCCATGGAATGAGCTAGATATCTAGGGACTTGGAGAAGATCTTAGAAAAGCCAATGCCACCAGAGATGGTGGCATACACCTTTAATTTCAGCACTTGGGAAGCTGAGGCAGGTGGATCTCAGCCAGCCTGGTTTACAGAGCGAGTTCCAGAAAAGCCAGGCCTACACAGAGGAAACCCTGTATCAAAACAAAAGCAACAAACAAAACAAACAAACAAACAAAACCAATTCCACCCCTACAGTCTTGCAAACTCCTGTCTGGGCCACAGAACCCAACACAAAGTTCCCCTACCACTGGGGAATATAATCTATATGGGTAGGTGACTAATGGCTTCCCTCACATGATTTAATATTTGCTTACTGCAGGCATCAGCACAGAGATGTCCTTCTCATTAAGCCTGTGTTCAACAGGAGATGGATTAAAGGACAGTGGGCCTCACTTTAGGATAAGAGGGACACTGTACTTGATGTCTCTGGTTGAAGTATGCATGGCATCTGAAGCATCCTTTACTCTTCCTGTAGACACTCAAGTGTTCTCTCCTTAACTGCCTCTGATGATGGGGAACTCACTACCTGGGTATATGTGCTCTTCCTTTGATGCTGTAAACTACTACAGCATTGTATATGCCACTCCCCATCACCATGTTCTCCATGTATGACACAGGGTTCCCAGCCCTTTGCTGAGTTTCATCCTGGCCTTGAATTTCATGAGCAAGCCATCCAATAACATGACTGTACTTCCTTGTCACCCTCTCTCTTTAAAAGTGTTCCATTTAAGGTTGAAGGGTGTGTGTGTGTGTGTGTGTGTGTGTGTGTGTGTGTGTGTGTGTGTGTAGGTGCCTCTGCAAGCCAGAAGGCATTGGATTCTGTGGAATTTAAGTTACAGGCAGTTGTGAGGGCTAGGAACTGAATGTAGGTCCCTTGCAAAAGTAGCCAGAGCTCTTAACAGCTGCAAGCTCTCTCCAGCCTCAACTACCCTCCTTCCATGAGCACCCAGTGCTGAAGGGCTACAGGAGGCAGGGGTGCTTGATGAGAAGTAATTCTCTGTCCCCACTGGTCTATCTCTTAGTTCTGGAGCCACCCCAGTGCTGGGGGGAATGGGGTGTTAAGAATAAGCATAGAGGGAAAACATCACCTCATGTGTATCTGACACACCCCAGAAGAGCCATCACAAACTTACTTAAAACATGACTTTTGTTTTTTTTTCTTGATTTTCTTTTTGTTACTCAGTTGTGCTGTTCTAGGGCTTGAACTTTGTGGATGACAATGTTACATAACAACACCAAAAAGCTGAACACACTTGGGAGACCTGTAACAGTAGGTGGCCGAGACAGTCACTGGTGGCCACATGTCACTGGTAGCTGACACATCTTGGAGGCTTGAGGGCCAGTTGGCCAGACTCAAGATCTTTAATCACTTGGGAAGGCAGCAGGGAAGCCCTTGTAGGGAAGCCTGGTCTGGACCCCACTGGCTTCTGGAGCGTAGCAGTTCCCTGCCCATATGGGCTGAACCTGTGTCACACGCAGCTCACTTACCTATGTCTTTGGCTCTGATGGCTACTGGCCTCCGCAGCTCAGTGACAAACTTTTTGGCATCCAGGCGGATCTCGATGATGTTGTTTAGCAAGGCGAACAGTGGAGCCAGAGGGAAGGATGCAACAAACAGGGTGACGAAGCCAAACTGAATGACTGTAGGGAGAGCAAGCCCGTCAGCAATGCAGCCATGTGCCACCCTGCACCCAGCATGACTCAGAACATGGCTGCCTGGTGCCCTGCCTCAGAGGAGCCCCAGTTTCTACTTCCCCAGGGCACCAGTCCCCTCAGCACTTCACGAGAGTTCTGGGAATTGAACTCATGTCTTTATATTTGTGCAGAGAGCACTTCACAACCTGCGCCATCTCCCCAGGTCCACATGTATATTTTTCATTCCTGTATATAAATGTGCTCTGCTCATGCTCACCCTCGAGTGACTCGAGTCACAGGCGTGCTTGAGGGTCACGAGTCTGACCTTATGAAATTTCTGCTCACAGGCAGATGACAGTGAGCTCATGGTCTGGCCTGTCCCCTCCCTGAGGCCAAATCTCCCATTGTCACAAAGGCCTGCTCCTGTTACTGTGTCTCAAGAGTCCCTCCTGTCCTCCTCCATCAGGCCTAGGAGAGTAGGAGGACATCTTTCCTCCAAGGTTCTCCCAGCCTTCTGTTTCCAGGCCTCGAGTTGCTGTTCACTAGCTCTGGAAGCTGCAGTCAATCTGAGTTACAACAGGTCAGGAAAAGGTTACCAGAGAGATGAAAGTCAGAGAGCTGGTCCAGGAGCTGTATGGCAGGACCTGGTCCAAGGTGCTCCATGCCAGGGGGTAAACAAGGAAGCTGCAGAATGTCACCCTGTGCTCAGCCGGCTGAGTATGGTCATTGTTACCAGGATGAGCAGGGCAGGAGGCTGTGGGAACTGTTTCCCAGATGTCTTGGTGACCTCTCATTGGCCCAGAAGTGTGGGGCAGCAGGGTGGGGTGCCTCCGCTGAAGTCTGGAGGTGCTGGCAGGTTAGGGAGGAACACAAGCAGCCATTTGCCATGGTTGTGTGTGTGGGCCATGGCTGCCAACACTCAGGCTCAGGGTTACTCTAGGTGGGCTTTACCTCTTAAAATAACTTGGCATAGGGTCCCATGTAGCCCAGGTTGACCTCCAATTTACTACATCACCAAAGATCACCTTGAACTCTTCCTGCCACCATTTCCCAAGTGCTGGGATTACAGTATAGGCCTGTACTACCATGTCTGGTTTATGCTGGGGATTGAACCCAGGGCCTTGTACATGCTAAGCAAGCTCCCTATCATTGGAGCTGCAGTCCAAACCGTGGTTTTTTCACTTCTGAGTGATGGCCCTGCAACATCCAGCCTGAATGGAATGAGAAAGAGACAACAGAGGGCAAGAGAAGATACTCTAGAGCTCGGGCTGGTGTGGGGCACTCTCCCACCCACACCTGTCTCCTGTGCTCAGCCTTAGGTTCCCTAGAGGAGAAGATGGCAGCTGGTGTGACAGAGAGAAAGTCAGGTGAAGAGTGTACCCTAGTGCTGGGCTGGGGTGGGCTTCTTGGCACAGAAGGCCTCTGTCCCTGAGATCTACTTATCTCTAAGCCCTGGAGGATCATGGGAGCCTGAGTCGAAAGCTCAGTAGTTGAGAGAAATAACCACGTCTCATTCAACCACAGGGCACTTCTCTGTGGTATCTGGCCTCCCAAAGCCTCCTCAGAGAGCAGAGGCTGACACTGGGGACAGGAGGACATGTACCCAGATTCTACTGGTCAGGGTCTTGGAGCTAAACAGCAGGAAGGAGCCTAGAGTCCTGTTTTCCCCTACAAGGTGCTCTCCTGAATCTTAAGGTGAGATGATTCCTGCCAATCATGGGGATAGTTGGGAGCAGTCTGCTTAGAACCACATGAACAAACACAGAGAGTGGTGGGTGGGGAGGTGTCATGGGGTAGAATGCTCTGGCCAGTGCTCTGAAGGTCACCTGTTCATCACTGCTCTCTGAGCCCAGGCTGAGGAGCTCCGGGGCCACATACCAGCCTGCCTTGCCTGCCAGCACCATGGTAAATGCAGAGTGCAGAGCAGTCGCTCCCCTGCCAGGACCTGGGACAGGGCTGATTCTGCATGTCTGAGTCCTGTCCATGGTGGCTGGCCCAGGCCATGCCAATTTAAGCTTCCCTGTGCTTGAGTCTTCTCGATTGTGTTCGCTCATCCACACATGCAGTGAACATGCACTGAGCATTTGCTGCACACTTGGGTTCATCCTAGGCATGGGGGAGGCAGCAAAGAGTGAGAAGAAGGAGTTGGAGAGGTGGCTCAGGGGTTAAGAGCATTGGCTGCTCTTCCAGAGGTTCTGAGTTCAATTCCCAGCAACCGCATGGTGGCTCACAGCCATCTATTGTGGGATCTGATGCCCTCTTCTGGGATAAAGGTGTACATGCAGATAAGACACTGATATGTAAATAAAATAAGTAAATCTTAAAAAAAAAAAAAAAAGTGGGAAGAAAAGTTCTTCCCTCCTCGGGGCTCTATCCTTCCATGAGACAGACAGAAAGGGAGAGAAGAGTTGATGATGTCGAATGGATTTAAAATGGGGTCAGAGGAGGAGCTGGATCCTAGGCATAGGGGAGAACCAACTCTTTTAGTCACTGCGGTCAGAGAAAACCTTTACTGGGGGACAATCTAAGCCCAGTCTTGGAGGAAGGAAGAGAGAGGACTCATGCAGGTATTTAAGGGAGAGCATTTCAGAGGAGTTACAGCAAATGCAAAGGCCCCATGGCAGGCCTGAGTTACATGTTTGCAGAACAATGTGGAGTCCAGTGTGAGCAGAACAGAGGGGCAGGATGGACAGGAAGGAGCCTGGAAGGCGGCAGGGCCACAGAGGCCACACCTGGACTTTCCCATCTCTCCTTAACTACCTCTCAGCATCCTTCCATGCAGGGTTCCTCTCTGTCGATGAGGCTTACCCAGGCCTCACTATGAGTACTGGCTTCATGCTGGGATCACAGCAAGCCCAGCGAGAGTCGGATATGGTGCTCAGGAAGAAGAGAGGTGTCACAGAGAGGGGAGGACACTTAAGGGGTGTAGCTATGGCACCCCAATTGCTGGGGCCTTCCAATAAAGCCGGTCTTGCTGGTGAGGGAAGTAGAGGGAAAAGAAATTGTTGCTTGGCTGTATGTGTCACACTGTGTAGCAGGTGACTATGTGCTGTCTGTCCTGGGCCCTTGGAAGACAAGGTTGAAGAAAAGGGACTGTGTTTACAGACCCGAGGAGGAGGAAGCAGAGCCTAGAGCCAAGAGTCTAGGCTAGATATCTCCAGTTCCTGTCTCTGCCTGACACTGCTGAATGTATGAGGGGCACTGAGATCCTGGGCATCCCAGCCCTACAGCCCTTTCCCTGTTCCCCTCTCTCTCTCTCTCTCTCTCTCTCTCTGTGTGTGTGAGTGTGTGTGTGTGTGTGTGTGTGTGTGCATGCGCGTGCACAGGTATATGTAAAGGTCAGAAGTCAACTTCCCTAGGTTGGGTCCATTCTATTTTTATTTTTTCCACAGGACCTCTCACTGGCTTGGCACTCACCAAGTAGGCTAGGCTAGGCTGGCTGGTGAGCGAGCCTCAAGGATCATCTTGTCCGTTTCCCCAGTGCTGGATTACAAGCACACATCACCACACCCAGTGTTGTTTTGTTTTTAAGTGTGGGTTCTAGGAATTGAACTTAAACTCCAGTTCTTATAGGTACTTACCAACTGAGCTATCTCCCCAGCCCCAGTTTCCCCTTTTTGTTTGTTTGTTTTGTTTTTGAGACTGGATCTCACTACGTAGCCCAGGCTGGCTTTAAACTCAAGAGCCTCTTGCCTCAGCCTCCAAGTGCTGGGATCACAGGCAGGTGTCAGTCATCATGCCCAGATCCATCATTTTTGTTCACTCTGCATCCCCCACAGCTTGTGCCCACCGCCCTGTCCCAGAACGCCACTCACTCATTTCCATGTACTCGGGTGTGAGGCCAGCGAAGGGTTCAAGGTTGAAGTCTACCTCATAGCGCTGCTTCCGCTTCACATACTCCTCACGGTCCGAGGGGCTCTGCCTTCGAAGCTTCAGGTAGCGGATGAACTTTTTCATCTTCCTGCAGAGGGCGCTGTGTCAGCGGGCAGCCAGTGGTGGGGGCAGCACCCACCAGCACCTCTGAGTTACACTATCATGTCTGCTCTGAGCTTGAGCCACTGGTTAGCACAGTGAAATATACATCTTTTGTTTTGTTTTGTTTTGAGCCAGTATAGGCCTGGCTGACACTGAATTTACTATGTGGATGAGGCTGGCTTCAAACTCTCATAAATCCACTTTCCTCTTCTTCCTTGGTGCTAGGATCAAAGGCATGTGACACTATGCTTGGCTACATGCCTGTTGGAAGGGGTCTATTAGCTCTGCCCTTCTCCCAAAGGCAGCACAGCTCTGCTGTTTTCCTAAGACCCTGAGAGGCAGGAAGAAGGAGAGGCCACCTGTAGCCGCGGGAGGCCCCTCTAGGGACCCGGGAAAAGTGGGCTGTCCCATACTTCTGTGGCCTTTCCTTGGTTCACTAAGGTCCTGGCTCCAGGGAACCTATACTTCTGAGGAGAAAGATGAAGGGGATTGGCTCCTACTGTCTACTCTGCCTCTCAGGGGCCGGTACAAGCCAGGGGTTGTGTGGCCTCTGAGAGTCCATATTATCTATGATGGGGCAACTTTTGCTCCATGTTCCCTCTATTCTCCTCACCCCCTGGTTTCCGAAGTCTCCTATCCCCAAAGAAGCGTATGCCTCACCTGCCACTGAGGCTACTTTGAAGTCGCCCATCCCCTCTACTCTGCCCCCACCCACAGTGGGTACCACTCACGGGATGCCGATCTCGAAGAGATTGTTCTGGATCAGCTGCTTTCCCAGCATGATGATGCTCAGCTGGATGCAGAGCTCCATGAGGCAGCCGCCTGGAGCACACTGTGGGACAGAGGGCAAGTCAGAGCTAGCCTGGCTCTGGGTAGGGGGTGAGGCTAGCCCTCAATTTATGAGGTAATTCATAGCTTCTTAAAAGTTAGGTTTAGGGCTAGGGAGGTGCTGGGTGGGTAAGGGCACTTGCTGTGTAAACAGGGACATCTGAGTTTGAATCCCAAACCAACATGGTTGCATGTGTCTGTTATCTCAGCGTTGTTGGGTCGGGGCAGAGGCAGGTGGATACCAAAATCCCTCTGGACAGCCATCATAGTTGTGATAGCTAGCTTCTAATTCAGTGAGAGACCCTGTCTCAAGGCATAGGCCACCCCACAAGCAAACCTCCGAATGTGCTTGTGTGGGTATGAACACACACACACACATACACACACTTCACATCCCCACCTTCTGAAACCTTGAGAATAAAAACTTCTCTGGGAAAGAAGTCATTGCTGATGTGATGAGTCAAGGGAGGTGGGAACATGCCCTGCTTCAGTGACCAGTGTCCTCTATAGAACACAAAGACCCAGAGGGAGACAGCATCTGGGGTGATGCAGAGAGGTCACCATGAATCCAGTAATGGTAGGGCACACTTACAATCTTAGCGCTGTGGAAGTGGAGGTAGGAGGATAAGGAGTTCAAAGTCAAACTCAACTACATGAGTTCAAGGCCAGCCTAGGCTACATTAGACCTTGCTTCAAAAAGAGCTGGGAGGAGCTCAGTCAGTGAAATGTTTGCCTCACAAGCATGGGAACCTGAATTCCATCCCCAGTTTGGGGTGGCATGTGTTTGTAATCTCAATGCAGGGGAGGCAGAGACAGATGAATTCCTGGGATCACTGACTGGCCAACTGGCTTAGCCTACTTGGTGAACTCCAGGTTCCAGTGAGGGGCCTGCCCTGTCTCAAAATGAAAGGTAGAGAGTGATGGAGGAATGACACATGAGGTTGACACATGTTGGCTTCCATATGAACACACTGTACACACACACACACACACACACACACACACATGCGCGCACACACCCCTCTGAAGAAAAGGAGAGGAAGAGACGGAATAAAGGAGGGAGGGAGGGAGGGAGAGAATGCGTTACCAATGATTCTACAACCCCAGATATTGGCAGTCAGGGACCGTCCCCAGGAGCCTTCAGAGGGAAAGGTCCCTACAACCCCTTTTTATGCTTTCTCCTTTCAAGCCATCTACCCCTCTACCTGTGACCTGCTATGCTGGAAGCAGGGCTCAGACAGACATGAGCCAACAAATGGGTCATGGTGGGTGGCTGGACCTCAGGTTCCCTCTCCTTCCTTCCCTGGGATTGTGCTCTGTTGATGCCCTGGCCACCCTTGCATAAGCTGGCATAGGTGCAACAGGTGGGAAGCCTCACAGTGTGGTGGTGGCCATCTGGCTGAGGTACAGCGCCCCACTCTGCCTCTGCTGGCTGGGGCTATCAGGAAGGGGCAAGTTAGGTGTGTGAAACCCAACTGCCCCAAGTAAAAAGGTGATCCCTGGGCACAGTGATTGCCTGAGTTCTAAGTAAAACTATGTAGTCACCCAAGTCCTGTCCTGGAGATCACTCATTCCATTGAAGACACTTACTCTTTGCATGTTCTGCACAGATGCTATCTAACCCCCAAGGAGTACGCAGAGGATGCCAGGCAAGAAGAAAAGAACACTTCACAAACTTTCTGCAATCCCCCCCACACTGTACAGGAGGTCCGGGGGTCCCTGGGACTGTGGTCAGATAACTGACCTAGGCTGCCCTAGACTACTAGATCATCCTGTGCCCGACACCCATCCCTTTATACCTCATTCCACTGTTTCCTTTATCAGGAGGCCTCACTCCCTTCTCTTGAGCAGGTGGAGGGCAGAGGCCAATCTTAGAAGTCACGCATTCCTCAGGAGTCATACGACTCAGTTTTTTTTAAAAATTATTTTTGTTGTATTTTATATAAACATATGTCTGTGTGCCATGTATATTCCTGATGCCTATGGAAGTCAGAAGAGGGCATTAGATGCCCCAGGGCTGGAGTTAGAGACAGTTATCAGCCACAATGTGGAACTAGGAGTCCAACCTGGGTCCTCTGCAAGAGCAGCAAGCACCCTTAACCACTGAGCAACCCATACCTCCAGCCCCACACCTGGCCTTCCACATGGGAGCTATGGATGAGACTCAGGCGGTCAAGTGTGTACAGCAAACATGTCACTGATTGAACCGTCTTTCCAGCCCTCACTCTGTTATTTTCTGATGAGTTTTTTTGTGGGCTGGAAGTGTGGACTGGTTACCTGGAGACCTGAATCACTAACAGTCCACTAACAGGAGCAAGCCTGCAGGTCAGGACTCAGTGTCAGAAGATGACCTTCCAGGGCCAGAACGATAGGGCAGAAGCCAATCGTTCCCAGCATTGTGTCTAAGGATAGAGAAGTGTGTGCTGCCATGCCATGTTAAAGAGAAAGGCAGCCAAGGTCTGTTTTTCCTCCTAAATGTACTTTAATCAGAGAGGGAAACAGCCAAAGGCTAACAAAACAAAATGGAGAGTAGCCCCAAGGAAGCTAATTGAGTCATTTTAAAAGAAGAGAGAAACCAGGTGTGGTGACACTTGCCTTTAATCCCAGCACTTGGGAGGCAGAAGCAGGTAGGGTCTCTGTGAGTTTGAGACCAGCCTGGTCTACAGACAGAGTGAGTTCTAGGACAGCCTGAGCTGCTGTTACACCAGGGAACCCTGTCTCAAAAAACAAACAAACAAAAAAGGAGAGAGAGAGAGCTGATTAAAGAGGAGGGGGGAGGGGTGCTAAGTGAGGCGGCAAAAAAGGGAGCAAGGGGTGGATATAATCAAAGTATGTTATATATGTATGAACATGTAAAGAGACCCATTATGTGTAATTAATATGTACTGATAAAAACAGGGTAGGTCCAATGGCTCCATGAATAGAGGTGCTTGTCACTGAACCTAAAGACCTGAATTCAACCCCAGAGAACCATGAGGTAGAAGGAGACAGCTGACTCCTGTAGGCTGTCCTCTGGCTTCTACATACGTGCTGCAGAATGCACACGTGCACATACACAACAAATAAGTAGATGTAGTAAAAATAAGATTTAAAAAGGAGGCTGGAGAGATGACTCAGCTATTAAGAGCACTTAACTGCTCTTACAAAGGACCTGGGTTCCCAGTATTCATATCAGTTGGCTCACAAGCAGCTATAATAAATCCAGTTCCAGGGGATCTGATGCCTTCTGGCCTCTTCAGGAACCTGCACATGTGTGATATATACAGACCCAAGAAGGCACACCTACATACACACAAATAATTAATAAGTCAATGCATCTCTATAAAATTAAAAAAGCAAAAATTTGAACCAAAAAAAAAAAAAAAAAAAAACCAGTATCAACAAAGACCAGGCATGACTCCCTCCTACATTTCTCCCTCCCTTTGTGCTTTCCTTGAGACAGATTCTCATCATGGGATTCAGGCTGGCCTCAGCTGGGATGGCAGGTGTGGGCCATCACACCCACCTAACACATTCCCCTAGGATCCTGGACTGTATTAACGGAGGACATGAACTGAGCACAAGTATTCATCGCTCTCTGCTTCCTGATTGTGTATGTGATGGAACCTGCTGCTTCAAGCTCCTGTTGCTTTGACTTCCCTGCCATGATGAGCTGTTCCCTGACATTGTGAGTGGAAGTAAATCCTCTTTCCCTTAGTCGATTTTGTCAGGGTGTTTTAATCACAGCCACGGGGAAAGAAACTAAATCTATGTGAAGATGCAAGAAAGTATTCTGGCTGGAGTGCAGAAGCCTGGAGGACAGAAAGCTAAGCAGAAGGCTGCTGGGAAGGAGAGGTGATACATTACCTCCTCCATCCGGAAAGAACGGAAGATGTACACGTAGTCGCCTGGCCGTCCGACAAACCTGGGATGGTTGGGGTAATGGTTAGGGAGGAGCTGGACTCAGTCCCCAGCAGACACCACCCAAAGGGCCTGCGATTCTGCAGATTCCCAGTCAGAGCCACCAGGGATTTTGCACAGGCTCTCTCCTTCCCTGGCTGGCTTTCAGATGCACACCTATATATCACCCTCACTCGGTGCCACCCGGCCTGTTGAGGGCACTATCAGAGCTTCTGGTCATGGCTGTTGTCTGGGGTCTATTGGCAGGGGTCCAAACCACTTGGGGTCTGTATTGCTAGAGCCCCCCTCTGCTTTACTGTCCCAGCTAAAGCTAGCTCCCCTCCCCCAGGACATCATGGCTGAAGAAGCTGTACTTCCTATTTTCTCTGAGTTGTGGGGACCTCCCACCATCAGGAAGGATGAGGTAGGACGGGGCCTTTTACCAGAGTAGAGGAGGCAACAGAACCAGGGTTGAGGGGTTCTTACCGGCCTTTGAAGAAAGCGACGTAGAAGATGGGAGTGTAGGAGTTGACGAACTTGAGCAGGAAGGCTTTAAAGGTCAGCCTCTCCTCGAAGCTCTTCTCTGTCTTTGGGACCTCTGTGGAGAGACACAGTAACCACTCACAGATGGGCTAGGCCAGGGGCAGTCAGGACTAGCCAGAGCCTGGTGGCCACGCTGCCCACACCATCCTGCACTCTGTCCTTACCAATCTTGGTGAGCCACCTGGCAATGCAGCCATAAACCTCATCCAGTAGAATGATGACCACGAGGTTGATGATGACAGCGGTGGCTGTGACCGTGACCCGGATGTTGGACCGCACTGAGGGGGAGGAGTTCATGGCCAAGGCTGCAGCCGTAGAGATTCTATAGATAATAACTCCCAGCACGATGGCAAATGTGACTGCGATCTGCAGGGCAGGCATGGACAAGCTTAGTGGTAATGGCAGGGATGGTTTGGGGGAGGTGAAGAGCTCCTAACCCCCACATTTTCCGTGTCAGAACGCTGAAATTACTGGAGTTCCTACCAGATGCCAGGTGCTCTGCAGGAGTCAACCCACAGAACAAGGACAAATGCGAGAGTAGAAGGATCAGAGATGTGTGCCTGGTTCAGGGGACTGAGCTCTGGGACTGGGCATCACCAGTGGGTCCATCCAAGCCTAACGCTTACCAGATCTGTGTACTACTCTCCCTTATTAACCTCCAGGTAGAGTCCAGGACACTTCAGCCATGCCCTAGTGGTTGTCCTGGTAGGTGTTAGAGCAGGCTGGCTACCGGGGATGCTTCTTTCCCAATCCAGGGACACTGAGAGAGCAGACGTCTGGATGGTGTGCAGAGCTAAGCCGGGCGCCCTCACAGCCACTGCCGTCAGGCAGATAGTGGCATCTGCTGGGGCATGGCCCCGTAGCTTTCTTGGAGCTACTGTCTAGCTCTTCCATGACAGCCAAAGCCATCTCAGGCTACAACATTCCATGGAACTCAGACTGGTGGTGCCTGAGAGATGGGTGGGAAGCTAGTGACAGGTTTGTTCCGCCTGCTACAGTCTGTCTGGGTTCCTTTTCCTTTTGTCTGGGTTCTTTTTCCTTTTGGCGTAGGTCCGTGGGTAAGACCTAGTCTCTGCCTAGCCCAAGGGTGTGGACACCCCACCCTAGAGCTTACTGGGCAAGGGTGGGCGTGTCTGAAGCTCACAAAGCAGAGCCTAGCTGGGCTTCAGCTACTTCTGTGTGGGTTTTGGCTGCTCTAGACAGGCTCTGGTCCTTATGTCTCTGTGTCCTGGACACAGAGCAGGTCTTGTCCTCACTAGCATAGTCCCTCACACTCCTGGCACAGGACCTGCTGCCCTATGTTGCCCACTCAGGGAACCTGGCCCTCGGGGTCTCCTCAGAAGACTTGCCCTGCACGCTATGGGCCACAGCCAAGCCTTTTCAGACATCTGTTAGTGACTAAACAGAGAAACACCCTGCCTGGGAAACCATCTGCAGTCCCCACTATGCCCTGTAAGCACAAGGCATGGATACCACACCCTGAGCTGTGCCAGGGAGTGAGGGCTTTCCTCGGAAAACCCCTCAGGCCTGCCAAGAGGCCCCTCCCGACCATGAGGACATCTCGTGTGCCAGAGTGCAGAGGTTGGGACTGCTCTGGGTCTGTGGTGACTCAGCAGAGGCAACCCTCCACCCTCCTCCAAGGAAGCCACAAGCCACGTGCCCTGCACCTCTGGCTGGCCATGCACACTAATTTCTTCAGGACCAGCATGTGTGGGACATCAGTATCTATGGCCTGAATGGAACTTTGGGGTCAAGGGCAAAGCTGTATCTCCATTAGCCTGTGAACCTGACTCTTGACAGGATTCTCTTTTGGAAAAGGCAGCCAGCTGGTTTCTTACCCATGTCTGTCCACCCTGGTTCCACTCACCTACCTTGCTAGATCACCATATATTCCTTATTAAGCCTTTCTGCAAGGCAGGTGGGCAGGAGAAAGGGTTCTGACCAATGAGATACATTGTGGGAGGGTCTTCTGAGGAAACCCCTTCACAGACAGGAGCCTTGTGCACATCCATCTTGTGCCCTACTCACAGCCTTCTCCTTTTCATACTGGAGTGTAGAAGTGATGATGGATGTAGAGTAGTTATGTTGCAACCAGAACAAGTGAGCAGAAAGAAGTCCAGAGAAGCCAGTGTCTCTGGTCACACTCGGCTCTAGGCCACCCACCCTCTCCCCAACCTTCCCTGATCCTTTTGATAGGAGCAGCTGGACTGTGGGGCTGTTGGGGTCTCTTAGTTCCTTAGCTTTGCCCTTTACTGACTGAGGGCTGGGTGTCATTCTCTGGGTGCTTCAGCACCCAAGGGAACATGTCACCCTCAAAACAAGGATGAGAGTATGTCTGGAGTCCCAGGTACTTGAGAAGGCAGGGTTCAGAAGCTCAGGGACAGCCTAGGTAGTAAGACCTCATCAAGCTGAACCCAAGCAAAGGAGGCTGAGCTTGTCTTCCTGTGAAGTGAGTCCCAGCTTCTCCAGGGAGAGGGAAGTAGATTGGGGACCCCCACTGTGGAGTCTGCCTAATTTTAGATCCTCTAAAACAGCTGAGGTTCTCCAGTGTTGTGCAATAGTGTATGGGACTGGGGTGGGTGAAGCTGAGGCCTAGGCTGTCTTCTGGGAGGGGGCACCCTGCCCAGGAAATCCATCCTGGCTCAAGGCTGTCTGTCTTGTATGGAGTGAGGGGCCCCTGGGGCAGATGAAAAACAGGCTCCTGGCTTTGCCAGTCTTGGCTAGCATTCCATTTGGACCTATTCCCTCACCACCTGGCTAGCTGTGAAGACTGAATGAGTCATCCAGTGAATGACCCCGGGAAGCTCCGGGGCAGGGGGTTGATGGGATTCTGAGGCTGAAAGGCTAGGTGGCTCTGCCAGGGTTCCATCAAAACCTCCCGGGCTAGACAAAAGGTGACTGACTACAAGTGGCCTCGGCCACATGAAGATTGAGAAAGGCACAGGTGGTTTGAAGAAGATGCTTATGACTTCAGGAGGATGGGAGGTCCCTGAGAACCATGGGACATTTGTTGGGTCATTTGAGTCAGCTCAGAGCTACTTGTCCTGTTCTTCCTCTTTAATTTTTTTCCCCTTAGATTTTGTTTTGAGACACAGCCTCACTATGTAGCCTAGGCTGGCCTTGAACTTGTAGCAACCCTCCTATTTCAGCCTCATGAGTGCTGGGATTACAAGAATGTACTGCTATGCCTGACTATCTGGTGAAATTTCTTTACTGGTTTCCCTAAGATCTGTCAGTTTGGTTTTAAGGGTGCAGAGGAGATCCCGGTGTGAGCCCCACCCCCTCAGTGAAGGATGTATGTCACCAGAGTCAGATCACATACCCCAGGACCACCACAAACCCCAGCATGTCCCATCTTAGGGATGGAAGAGGGGGTCCCCCACTCCCTCTCCTTCCTGGCAGTCAGGGTCACTGTGTCCCAAGATGAGTGCAGGGTACCTCTGATCCCAGCCCCTCCAACCTTCTAGAACTTACCATGAAGATGATGGAGACAAGATTGGTGAAATAGGCTGGGAAGCGGTCCCTCCAGGTCAGCTTCACCTTGTCTGTCTGCAACATGAAACCATTTGGTCACTTACTGAGAACCACCCTAGTGGGTGGACAGGAGTACACACAAAAACTCAGAGAAACCTCCAGAAGGCTTCTCTGTGAAAGGGGAAGCACACAGGGCCTAGTCCCCCTTGAACAAGGTCACAAGGTGACAAGTAGGGAATGGCCTCGGGGGTTAGGCCCTTTCTGTGCATGGGCATGGCATTGCTCACTGCTCCCTAAGAACCGTATGGCCAGAGAGGGAGCTGCCCATATCAAAAATCTATTCTTCCCCTGCAGTCTCCTGTCCAGGACTATAAGGTCCTAAGCTGTTGGGCCATTTGCCACCCAGCATAATAACTTTTCCCCTTTTGCTGGACAGGTGGAATAAGTGCCTAGCACTGTGTGTTAGAACTCAGAGCATTGTAAGGCCTGGGGCCACATACTTCTCTGAGACTCTCCTGGCCTGAGCTGGCTGGCCTGGAGGGACCTTGGGGAGCAGTTGGTCACTAGTCTGGGCAGTTTCAAGTGCTTGGGGGAGGGACTTTCAAAGACAAAAACACACAATGGAGCCCAGCATGCTAGCACGATGTCACATAGGAGGCCACTCATTCCAGCGGTGTCTGCATGCACACTCACAAGAAAACAAGAAGCAGTGGAGGACACCAGTGACAAGCACGTCTCCAGAGCCCCACACGAAGCTGCATCTGCTCCCTGTGGATCCCTGACAGCCATGCAGTGACATTGCAACACATGACAGGCTGCAGGTGGGAGGTGGGGAAGGGACACAGATGGGAATGTTCCAAGAACACACCACAGAGGTGGCCAGGGACAGACACAGTGGCCAAGAAGGCCTGCAGATGGTGTCAAGGCTCAAGTTGCCCCAAAACAGACAAGTACCAATTTCACCCCTGCCATGGCTGTCCTAACCCTCTGCTTCCATTTGTTGGTCGGTTCTTCTGGACCACTCCGGCGCTTCTGAGGGTGGATGGGGAAAGAGAGCACCGGATGGTGGAACTGGGTGGGGTACTGCTGATCTTGGATAGGGATGCAGGTCTAGGCAATGGCTCACTCTCCTTGTGAGCACCATCTGCCAAGGCTGACTAGGGTTCTGGGCATTTTAAACAAGTTAACACACAGCAGAGATTCAATTCAAGGTTAGGGCAAGGGGAACTAGAAGTTTCTCAAGTAAAGAACCCAGCATATAGTGCCCATAGGGTCCCTCAGCATTGTATTATGTGCGGTGTCACATGCCTGTAATCCCTGCACTCTGGAGACAGAGGCAAGAGAATTAGAAATTGAAGTCATCCTTAGTTACATAGCTAGTTGGAGGCCAGCCTGGGCCACATAGACCCTGACTTAGAAAACAAACCATGGGCCTGCAAGAAGGCTCAGCCAGTAAAAGAGCTTATGGCCAAGCCAGATGGCCTCCTTTGAATACCTCAGGACCCCACTGTTTAAGGAGAGGACAGACTCCTTAAAGATGGCTTATGATATCCACTCATGTGCTGTGATATATATATATATATATATATATATATATATATATATATATGTATATGTATGTATGTATGTATATATGTGTGTACATATATATATATATCACATGAAGTAATTTTATTTCATAACTGAAGGAAACCAATGCAAATCAGCCACTGTGAGTCACAGGAGACAGGAGAGAGAATGTGGACATATGAAGCCATGGGCTCAGGGCCACCACCTTCCCAGAAGCCTACAAAACCCAACCAAACAAATAAAAACAAACAATCGAAAAACCCAACTCTCCAGAATCTTTATGTCTCTCTCATGATCCAAGAGCTGGGGCTGAAACTGAGCCCAGATGAGGCAGCTGCTGTTCTCTGAAGTTGTTTGCTGTGATGGGTGTGGTGTGGTGTTGTGTGGTGTGTGGTGGCTGCAAGCCTCTGCTGTTTATGAATGAGTGAGGCAGTTCTCTGTATTCATTCCAATCTAAGATTGGACCAGTGACCAGAGAGACACTGTCCCATAGCTCTGGGGACTCAGGCTGACTCCTGAGGTTTCTCTACCCAGACTTAGATTTGGGGGTGTGCCCTAGTGACATGGAGATAGGATGGAGGCTTGTAGGGTCTTACTTAGGGGCCACTAGGCTATGTAAAGATGGGACTGCTAGGTTGACCTGGTCAGACAGACAGCTTCTAGCTGGTGTGTCCAACCCTTGGGCTGCAAGTGGCCCACAGCTATGGATGTGAACCAACATAAAATTTTAAACTTTAAACATTACGATTTCTTTTTTTGCTATTTTTTTTGGAATTTGATTGTAAGGTTGTGTCAGCTCTGTAAATGACAGTTGTGCCTCAGTGTCAGAACACTGTACACACTTGAGAGTGATCTGCTTGCTTATATAATTTCTTTCTTTTTGAACCATGGTCTCAGTGTATTGCCCTGGCTGTTCTAGAACTCACTGTGTACACCATGCTGGCAAAGATTTGCCCGCTTCTGCCTCCCAAACACTGGTATTAAAGGTGTGCACCACCATACTTGGTTGTGATTACTTTTTGTGCCCTTGAATCCTGCTCAGTCTCTGCAGTATTCTAGTAGATCCTTCCTGGCTATAGGATGGGGCCTTGCATCTGACCTGCTTGCAGTCTCTGACGTGCCCACCTTCATGTAATTGTGGCAACCTTAACCTTCAGGCTGCTTGGTACCATCAGCTCAGTGACTGGGACACAAAGACAAGATAAGGGCCGAGGGTTTGTCCTAGTCACTCCAGAGGCCAAGGGTTCAAAGATCAGGAAAACCATGAGCCTGGAAGAGTAACCTCTAACTGCCCAGCACTGCCCAGTACCAATACAACTTTCTCCAGCCCCAGTGAGGAGCCTGTAGCCTTGGGTTCCTGGTCTATTTCACCTTATATGAAAATTAGAGGTGTGCAAGAATACAGGTCATACACACAAGCTGCCAACCAGAACAAGAGGCTTGGGGGACAGTTTATTATAAAGAGACAGTGGCCTGGAGCACATTACAACACCCACATATTCCTATCCCTATGTCCTAGAGAAGTGAGAAGTTCAGACACTTGGGTCTACAAATGCTTCCAACTCATTGTTCAACACAGAACACAGGTTTCACAGGGTGGGGTGGGGCATTCCCAGAAACAAGATCCTAGTGTGACATGTTTGCTGACGTTGAGGTAACTCTCAGAACACATTAGGGGACAGTCTAGAGCAGGGCTGGGCTAGTTCTGGCCCTTTGTTTCAATCTGGCCCCTGGCCTGTTTTTGTAAATAAAGTTTTATGGGAACACAGTCTTGCATACTTGTTTACCTTTTGTCAACAACCCTGTTCACAATACAATAGTGATTATCCAGCATAAAATATTTACTATCTGAGCTGAGCCCTGTTCTGCAGAGAACACAGTATTTGTTGACATTTCTCTACACCTGGGAACACATAGTTTTTTCTGTCTCTTGGTCACACCTGATGAAGACCAGTGTTTGTTGACCCCTGGTCACACCTCAGACACACATTGTTTGCTGATCCCCCCACCACACCTCAGACACACATTGTTTGCTGATCCCCCACCACACCTCAGACACACATTGTTTGCTGACCCCTCCCCTCAGCACACCTCAGACACACAATGTTTGCTGACCCCCCCCATCACACCTCAGACACACATTGTTTGCTGACCCCTGGTCACACCTCAGACACACAATGTTTGCTGACCCCTGGTCACACCTCAGACACACAATGTTTGCTGACCCCTGGTCACACCTCAGACACACAATGTTTGCTGACCCCTGGTCACACCTCAGATACACAATGTTTACTGACCCCCGGTCATACCTCAGACACAGTGTTTGCTGACCCCTGGCCACAACACAGACACACAGTGTTTACTGACCTCTGGTCACATCTAGACACACACTATTTGCTGACCCCTGATTAACACCATAGACACAGTGTTTGCTGACCCCTGGTCAAAACTACAGACACATAGCTTGCTGACCCCTAGTCACACCTGGTCACACTTCAGACTCACAGCATCTCACTGTGGGGAGTCAATAGCACAGCCTGTACCTCTTTGTTTCTGGATTCTTTTCTTAGTGACTTCTCTAAGACTCTGGCTTCGTACTCTGCCCTGGGATGATCCTGAGAAAGACAGTAAGAAAGGAAGTGTTAGTCCACCTCCTTCTACGTGACTCCATGTATTTGCTTCGGGGACCCTGGGGACCAGTTCACAGCTGGCTGTCACATTTCCAATATCAAACTCCCTGTACTTAGCCTGAACCAGGGTTCAGGACTCTCCCTTTGTTAAGAACCCCAGCTCAATGGAATAACCAGCGGGTCTGGCTTCTGTGTCCTGTAGGAAGTCTTGGCTGTGCCAGGCAGTAAGGAACACCCAGCTGTGAACTGACCCTCTGAAACTTTCTGTGGAGTAGCCACAGGGGTCAAAAGAGACAGGCAGCAAGCGCAGGCAGGCCTCAGGGAGCCCAGAGCAATTCAGCGGAAGGTGCTGGAAGGAAAGAACAGGTTAGGTGAAACTGAAGAAAGCAGAGCCCAGGTGAGAGCCATGAGGAGACGTCTGGTGAAAAGACAGGAGCATGTGTGCACAGGTCCCTTTCCCCAGAGACAGGCTAGAGGAAGGCAGAGTGACCAAAAAAATATTCCAAACCTTGACAGCTTCCTGCGGGGAACCGGGAATAAAGACAAAAACAGAACGAACCGTTACTGATGCTGTTTATCCAGAGCCAGAATGATGGCAGTCCCTAGCAGGACAGGGGGCTGGGTGTTTCCCACTCCCAGATCCCACTTTTGCAAACTCCCTGCAACTCTCAGAGTCAATGGAGAAGCACACAGGACAGTGACCGAGCTCCCTCCAGCTTCCATCCAACGTGGGGTTCAGACCACGGGGTAGGATATTGGGGGTAGAGGCGACCTCTTTACCCAGGACTGTGGTCAGCATGAGTGGCTCACTTTGGGTGACTCACTCAGGCCCATTGGTGTTGTGTGCCCAGTGACCTAAGGAATATCTCCTAGAAATCAAGCCCTAGGGATCCTGGGGTAAAGAGGTCAAGGTAGAGAGTGGTGAGTCGCTCCCCTCTGCTTTCAGGACACCTTGGAAGTGTTTTCTAAGTTGCCCTGACAGTAAGATCCAGCTGGCATTTTTTCTATTGGAACTGTCAACATGGAAACAGAACCATGGAGAGAGCGCACACCAGCCAGAGCTCCTGCCCTATACATAGAGCACCAGTCACTTGTGAAATGGACTTACTGCAGAAGAGGCAGGCACTGTTACACAGCTGGGTGGCAGGTGAGGCCTAGCTACAGCTACAGCCATTCTCTGCGAAGTTTATTGTGCCCCTGGCCCAGTTATGATTCATCAGGGACGTCCCCAGTCTGGTCAAGTTAGGCTTGCTCCTCGGTGTCTATGTGGCAGGAAATGGCACCGGGCACGGAGATGCTAACCAATATGTCCCAGGTCACACAGCAATGGTGGTGTCAGATCAGCTGAAGTTGGGTACTGTGGTCACAAAGGCCTGGCTTACAACCATGACCTGACTTCCCAGCTGCAGTCTGCATGGAGCAGGAACCACCGTGGGCTCTCTGAAAGGTGCATGTGGCCAAGAGTGACCTACAGACTGGAGCTCAGGAGGGTGGGAGCTATGTGAGGTCTTTAAGGGCACAAAGCTGGGGCTCAGCAGCAGTACTGGTCTAGTTCAAGTTCCAGTGGTATGGGGGAGGGGGGAGACAGAGACACACAGGGAGATATTTGCAACACATCAAAACATAAAAGGGGCCTCACTTATAAAAAGTTAAGCACGGGAGAGGCACTGGCAATGTAGCTGAGATGGGAGAGTGTTTGCCTGGCATGTATAAGGCCATGGGTTAGATCCCTAGCATCAAATAAACCAGATGTGGCAGAGCATACCAGCCTGCAATACCAACACTCCAGAGGCAGAGCCTGGAGGGTCAGGAACTCAAGGTCATCCTTGACTATGCAGCAAGTTGGAGGCCAGCTTGAGCTATGTTTCCAAGAGGAGGGGGGCAGGCAGGAGGAGGGGAAAGAGACAGGGGAGAGGGAAGAGGAGGTGGAGGGTGGAGGGGAGGGAAAGGGGAGGAGAAGGGAGAGGAGGGGAAGGGAGAGGAGGGGAGGGGAAGGGAGAGGAGGGGAGAAGAAGGGAGAGGAGGGGAAGGGAGAGGAGGGGAGGGGAAGGGAGGGGAGGGGAAGGGAGAGGAAGGGAGGGGGAAAAGAAGGGAGGAGAGGGGAAGAGGAGGGAAAGGAAAGGGAGGAGAAGAAGGGAGGGACAGGAAAGGAGAGGAGGGAAATAGAGGAGAGGAGAGGAGAGGGTGTGCGGCCTCAGCTCTGTAACCCCAGATCTCGGGAGGCCAGGTCCTGAAGACTGGACTGTAGAAAGTGTGAGACCAGCCTGGGCTACAGAGTGAGCTGGCATGTTGCACCAGGCCATAGTTGTGCCTCAACGCATGCAGCGAACAGCTCTTCTTGTGTGTGGGGGGGGGGGCAGTACATTTTAATCACCCTAACAAGGAATTCCTGCTGAGATGGCAGTCAGGGGACTCTGGGGAGACTCATTCTCTCTGACTCCAGCCATCTACCACTGGGCGCCCCCTCTTTGGAACCCAGCCATGTTTGCAGTGAAGGGTCTGCTGGGCTCCTCAACCTCCCCTGACTGCAGGCTGGGGGGATGGTTTGGATGCAGAGTAAGGCGCCCTGTGGACAACAGTGACTTCCTGCCCACACCCCAGATGTGATGAGGTCAGTGTGGGGAGCCCTGGCCGGCACCCGAGCCCACACTCGTGGGTGTTGTGTCTTTGGAAGCATGGAGACAGAAAACACTGGCAGATGGAAAACAGTTGCCCTGGCAACCAAGGAATACCAGGGTGATGAGTGGAGGAGCCACAGGAGCCACGCCTGGGATCAAGGGCCAGTCAGGACCTGGGATATCCACATGAGCCAGAGGAGGTAGCAGAGGGGGCTTGGGGGGGGCAGGCACAGCCACTCACCTCCTCCTCCTCGAAACCTGTGAGGTCCCAGCGGTAGTTGAGTCTCATCTGCTTCCGTTTCCAGTGCTCCATGAAGGTGGCAGCTGTGGGATGGTGGGAAGCAGTCAGGGCCACTGAGCTCCTTAGACAACACAGTGTTGTCCACTGGCTGAGCGAAGGCCAAAGACACACAAGTGAACGGATTCAGCCCTCTCATCCACCCTACCTGGCCATTGCTTTCCCACTCTGCAGATGAGGAAACTGAGGCATGTATAAACTCTGGCCAAGGTCACTCAGCCAGGCAGAGAGAGGTGGGCTGGCTAGCATCTGAGCCTGGGTCTCTAGTAACCCTTTCAGGATCCTGGGGCCTGAGTGTTGGGAGGTTTAGAGGGAAGGGTTAGCTAGCATCACTAGCATCAAGCCGGGTAGGCATGCCTTGTGTCTGTCTGCTGAGTACACCACTGGCCACTGTCCTGTGTCATTTATTATTTAGAGACAGGGTCTCATGTACCCAAGGCTGGCACTGAACTTGCTGTGTGTCTGGCCTTGGTGGTCGGTTTACCTGTCATCTGGCCACAATCTAGAATCACTTAAGAAAGGAGTCTCAAACCAGCAAATGTGTAGATCAGACTGGCCGAGGGTATGTCTGCAGGGGATTGCCCTGACTGTCAAAGACCCACCCTGAAGGTGGGTGGCACCATTTCATGGGCTAGGCCTTAAACTGTGCAAATGAAGAAAGCTACCTGAGGCCTCGGGACAGCAGCCACCACCAATGCAGTCGTTCCCAAAGTGACTGCTGCCTCCAGTTCCCACCTCTGTGACTTCCCTCAGTGACGGACTATGACCTGGAGCTGTATGGCAACTGGACCCTTTCCTCCCTAAGTTGTTTATTCAGGGTGGTTTTTGGTTTGTTTTGTTTCTTGAGACAGGGTTTCTCTGTTTAATAGCCTTGGCTGTCTTGGAAGTCACTCTGTAGACCAGGCTGGCCTCGAACTCACAGAGATCTGTCTCCCTCTGTCTCCTGAGTGCTGGATTAAAGGCATGTGCCGCCACCGCCCACCTATGTCAGCGTGCTTTATCACAGCAACAGATAGAAAACGAGCAGTATCCAAGGTTGGCCTTGAACTGATTTTCCTGACTCTACTTCCAGAGTGCACAGGTGTGGGCCACCATACCCAAATCTGTGTTATATTCCACACAGACCAAATGTTCAAATGCCACCTTTTCCAGAAGAAGCTGATGATACCCCCGGGGACACACACACACACACACACACACACCAGAAATCACTAGCCAAGGGCTGGAGAGATGATTCAGTGGTTAAGAGCACTGGCTCCATTGTGCTCACAATCACTAATAACTTCAGTTCCAGGAGATCTGATGTCCTCTTCTGGCCTCTAAAAGTACTGCACTCATGTGGTATGTATACATACACTCCAGTGTACACAAATACATACAAAATTAGTAAATACATTTTAAAAGAAAGCACATCAGTGAACCCCTCACAGGATGCTATGGTGTAGATTGGCTGGAGCATCTCCCAAGTCTCAGTGTTGTGAGCTATGAACATTGGAAGCTAATCTCACTGTGCTGTTCAGGGATGGGGCCTTCAGAGGGCAATTAGGTCCAAAGGATGGAGCCTGGTGAATGAGTCTCTGTAGCTCTGTAAAAAGAGGAAAGAATTGCTCACCATCTCTTGCCAAGTGAGGCCCTGCACTGTCCTATGATGGTGCCAACAACAAGGCCATACCCAGAAGTGAGAGGCTCTTGACCTTTAACCTCCAGTATCATGAATCAAAATGAACCTCTTGGCTTTGTAAAGTTACCTGATCTCGGACATCACATTGTCATATGAAGTTAAACTGTACAGGACCAACCCCAAACTGCATCTGTGCTGTTCTTGCCACCTTCCAGGACAGTTCCTGTCCTACTTGTGGCCTTTCTATGTATCTGAGGGTAGGAATAGAACCTAGCTTCTCTATCCACAGTAGTCGGCAAGTACCTGACCCAGGCTCACCATTGTTCGATGTTAGATGGGTGATTTTATGAACACACAGCTTGTAAAGACAGACACACCAGCTTACTGTTTGCTGTGAATACTACCCTCAGAAAGTCAGCAGAGGCAGGGGGATGGATGGCAGTCACAAAATAATCAGAGCTTGAGATTCTCAGGCTACCACATGCAAGATGCTGTGCCAAGAACTGCCAAGCAAAGTGTGTTCCTCCGTGAAACCCTGCAGTTATCGGCCAGGACTGATATCCCACTATTTTACAGGTGAGGAAACTGAGGCTCACAGACCACAAACTGCTTATCTGGTAAGTGGGGATGTCAAAACAGAAATAAAGCATCCCAGATAGGAATCCTGGTGGGGGCTTCCTGGTGGAAGTCAGAGCCATGAAGACACTGCCACTGTTACTGCTGTCCCAAGACAAAGGGAGACACATCCTAATGCTCGTTTTTTTTTTTTTTTAACTACTTCAAGCCACTCTGGAAAGACAGCTCAGCAGTTAAGAGCACTGGCTACTCTTGTAGAGGACCCATGTTTGGTTCCCAGCATTCACACAGCAATTCACAACCATCTGTAACTCCAGTTCTAGGGGATCTGATACACTCTTTTGGTCCCTGGGGGTACCAGACATACACATGGCTCACAAATATATGTGCATACAAAAAACTCCCATACAGAGAATAAAAAACAAAGTAAATACAACTTCTGGATAAGATTCAAAGCTGAACTTCCTAGGAACCTGGGTGAACAAGCATAGTGACTCATGTCCTGTCATTCCAGCACTTGCAAGGACAAGGCTGGAGACTCACCATGAGTTTTAGGACGACCTGTGTTTCAGTGTGAGTTCTTGTCTCAAATAAAGAAAACAAAATAAACAAAACCTGGGAGCTAGAGAGATGGCTCAGTGGTTGAGAGCACTTTCTGCTCTCACAGAGGACCTGGGTTCGATTGTCAGTACCCACACAGCAGCTCACAGCCATCTGTAACTCCAGTTTTGGGGAGAGTCTGATGCCCTCTTCTGCTTCCACTCACACATGTACACAGTACACACAAACTCACACAGCACATAGCACACACATACAAATAAATCAATCAATTTAAAAAAAATCCAACCCAAACCAAATGGGCAAACAGGGTGGAGAAAATTCTCAAAAGGAGACATGCAAATCAGGTTTATGGAAGGGTTCAGCCTTGCTCTTACCAAGAGGACCAAAAACCACAACTACAACAACTCAAACAAAAGATAAATAAATACAAAACAAAATCCTCCCCCATCATAGTCAGAACAAATGCTACCAAAAGACAAAAACAAAAACAAACAAAAAACCCTAAAACAAACAAAAAACAACCCACAAATGAAGGTCAGGTCACAAAGAAAGGGGGGTGTTTGCTTATGTCTGGTGGGAGAGGAGTACACAGTCACAGCTGATATTTAAAGCAGTACAAGAGGCCTCAGAAACCTAGGGCCAGGGCTACCATGCCATCAGCGATCCTGCTACTGGGAGCCTATCCAAGGGCAGTGCCAACAACCCCAAGGGGCGATGTCTGCCTCCATGCGTAGGGCAGTTCATGGCAGCTAAGAGGCAGAGCACGGATGAGTAGAGGGGTGGATATGTCCTGGGTCCATGCACTAGAATACACTACCCATTATGTCCAAGTCACACATACAGAGGGGAAACTGTCATTTTCAATCACATGGTGGGATCAAGAGACCATGACTAGAAGTTCAAGCACAGGAATGGAGGCTAAGAAGAGGGGCCATTGTCATCAGAAGGCCAGGAGCAGAGGAGGGCTGGAGAGCAGGGGAGCCTGCAGAGTCAGGAACAGAACTGGTGTTCCGTGACAAGTGAGTGATTGATTACAGTCAACACTCTGTGTCATTAAGTGGGTGATTGATTACAGTCAACACTCTTGTATCATTTGATTCTGATAGCCGGAAGTCAGGATTGTGGCTGCCCTCAGCATAGAGATGTGATGGCTGGATGACAGCCTGGCAACCTCAGTGCTCTTAGCTGAGGACACATCTAAGTCAACACTCCCAAACATCCTTCAGGACCCTAGAAGTGTTCTATAAAACCCTTCCCTACCCATGGGGAGGTAATGGGGCATGAGAGTGTTGTTTGGAGTGTTCATGGAAGGAGCCAGGCCCCAGAAGAAAGATGTTTCTGCCCTGGGACATGGCTTTATGTCAGAGGCCAGGGCTAGACTCATCTCCACCTGCTCCTGAAATCTGTTTCTTATAGTATTTGTGTCATGGCCTTTATCACCCTTATATCACACCCAGCTATCAGGGAGTCTGAGATGGCCGGGCTCCTCCCTTCTGCCTCTGTGCGCCCAGTGCCGGCTGCAGTCACTGACAGGCAGTAGAGCACCACACTGCTGTGGAGGTGGGGTAACCTCATGTCCATCAGCATCAGAAACAGCAAATGACTCCATAAGAAAGAAAAACCAGGACACTAAGGCTTGGGAGGAGCCATGCCATGTGCATGGGCAAGCCCAGAAGGGAATTCTGAACTGATCCTGGCTGACTCCTGGGGCCTGTACAGACACTAGATTTCCTTAAAGGAAAAGAAAAAAAATCATAGTCATATCTTTATGTTCAAGAATCTGAGCTTTTCTTTTTCTTTCTCCCCCCCCCCCTTCTTTTTTAGACAGGGTCTCTCTATGTAGCTCTAGTTCTAGGCCTGGAACTCACACCTATGTAAACCAGGCTGGCCTTGAACTCACAAAGTTCTTCCTGCCTCTGTTTCCCCAATGCTGGGATTAAAGGCATGCACCATCATACCATACTGAACATGTACTTTTTGCCCAAGAAAACAGAGAAGCAGAGAGGTTAAGTAATTTGCATAAGGCCAGCAGCTGGTTCTGAAACACTCTTTGCTTGTTGGAAGGGAGGTGAGAGGGCTCTAACCTGCTGGGATCCAGGCTGACTAGTACCCAACCACCCTTGACTGTACTGAGAAGTAAACATTTAATATGAAAATCGTAGTTGTCTGTTTTTTTTGTTTTTGTTTTTTGTTTTTCTTTTTCTTATGAGCCAGAGGTCAGCACTGGCACTAGGAGAATGGAGTTGGACCTTCTATGCCTGGCCACAG